ATCATAATGAATGAATAAAAGTAAAAAAAATATAACTTTTTAACTTTAAATTAAGTTCAAATGTTATATTTAATTTCTATATATATCATTTATTCTAAAATTTTATGAGTATAAAGTCTAAATCTTTACAACTATTAAAAGACTTTAAATTCAAGAAAAATAAAAGTTAGTGTTTAAAATGTTATAAAAATATTTTTTATATTAACATATCAAATCATATTTGTTTACTATAATTTCATATTCTAACTATATGATTATTTAAAATTTTTAGATTAAAATATAAATTCTAATACTTTTGAAAATTTTTATGATAACATTCAATTACAAACGTAAAGAAGAGTGATTTCTAATGAAAAAATTTAGTCATTTTGAAAATTTACGATTAATTTTTAAGATATAAATTAAAATGTAGATATTATATATAAAAATATGAAATGAGTACAATTTTTTTTATTAATATAATTATTTATTATGTTATATTCTTAAAATTTTATATTTTTAATTAAAAAAGAATCAGATTCACTAAATATTAACATTTTTTTATAGAATTAAATAATATATGAGAGAGATAGACAAAAAAATATATCTGAAAAGAAAAATCAAATATATAACTATATTTACGTCAAAATAGTTAGAAGACATTTATTTTTTTAATGGCGATATAATATTTTAATGTATTTATATTAAAGTTATATTTATATATCTTTAAAATAATTAGAAACCTAATAATAATATATTTTTTTTTACTTATTTTTTGTTCATATTATGTGTTTCTTTTAATATAGAATTTTAAATTTATTTTTTAAATTTTATTTAAATTAACATTTGTTCTTTTAATAAAATTTTTAAAATATTATTTTATTATTAAATTAGTTTATAAATATATTTATTTTTATTAATTCTTAATTAAAATAATAAATAAACTGTATTAATTATTTTAAAAAATTTAAAAATAATTATATAATAAATTAATAAATTATTTTAATTTTATGATCCAAATAACATAATTTTATTATACTTAATTGGTTATAAAATAAAATTTATTTATTTATAATGTCAATCAATTTTAATTTTATTAAGTTATCAAAAAATATAAAATAATTTAACCGTTTAAAAAAACTCAATTCTATATTTTTTTTTATCAAAAAGTAAATTTCTCAATTTAATATATATATTATATGATTATTAATTTTTATTTACAATTTTTTGTATAGTAATTTTTTATATATATAAAAATTTTAATATATTTTTATTTTTAAATATTAACATATAGTTTTATGTATATTGATATTCAAAGCAGATTTTTAAAATTTCATACATTAGTTGAATAAATATTTTATTTTTTATATATTAGTCTGATAAGTTATTTTAAAAAAATATGATATTATATTTTAATAATTATATAGTAAAATTTTATTAGTAATTTTAAATTATAATTATAAATAGATAGTTTATCATATAAATTTAATTCAATAAATATAAACAAATGTATAAGTAAAAAATTATAAAACTTTTTATTTAAATTTCATAACGTATATTAACAAATTTATTATATTTGATAATTGTTCGGAGGACAAGTGTACCCATCGAGAAGTAATAAAAGGTTCTTAAATTAAGTTCCCAAAATATCGTTCCACAAGGATTGATTTTCAATTACTAAGAATTTCCTAATTCCATTGTTTAAGCTTCAAAGATGCGAGATTAATTAAAAATAAGAATTTATAAAATCGATTGTAAAACTAAGAGTAAGGAATACATTGCACGCCTTGGTTAAACTTATCGAAGAGAAACATAGGGCATATGAGTTTTCTCATTCAATTTTTTATGTTATTTTTCTATTTAACTCTAAATTCAATTTCCTTGTGATTACCAATCATTCATACGAATATTATTAATATCCAATGGTCATGCAATATTAATATTCTTTTCTCTAAATTGACATCCTCAATGGTCATACAAGACATTAATTTAGAAAAGCTTTAGGAGCCTATGAATTTGTTAATTTAATAACGATTAGAAGAGAAAGATTGGTTTGGTCCACCTAATCCTTTGTCTCGTTTTACCCTATAGATCTATTAATTGACCGAGGTACGGTCGCTTGACGATATAATTAATTAGGATTAAGAAAGAAGCGTAATAGGATAAAATCTAATCACAAAACAGAAATCAAATTTAAATTCAAATATCAAAATTCTATAAATTCATGAACAATAGTTCTCATAGCTCTAACTATGGACTTAGTTACTCATGCTAAAGAAAAGAACTAAAACAATCATAAACAAAGCCATAATAAAAAGAAATAGCAAACTAGAGTGTAAAATGTGTTTCCGGTCTTCAAGTACGATCGCTTGAAGCTCCAAGTATCGCCAAGCATGTGTCAAAGATCCCGTGCAAGAGAGACGAGATCAGATGTATTCTAGAGCCAAAGCCAAGATGTAAAAACAGTCCTTTTTCTAATGGTGCCTTAGGTCTTCCTTTTAATAGGGTTTGAAAACCTTAAAAACTCTTCATAATTGGGCTTCCCGCAGATGAGCATGGCCGTGCAAGGCCTTAAGCACGACCGTGCATGGGCTCGAAACACCCCGTGCTTATTGAATGGGTCTAGGCGTGCTGATTGCTGCAAAGCTCTAATCTTCCATCAATTTGGGCTCAGAATGCACCAAAAATCCACTTGCAGCCTCTTTATACCAAACTGCACAATTAATATATAAATTAGTGTAAAACCCAAATAAAATAAAGATCAAATATGAATATATGTGCTGTAAAAGAGGACCTAATTACAAACTTATCAACTCCTCTATACTTATCTGTTTGCTTGTCCTCAAGCAAAGTGCTGGTTAAGAGTAACATAATAACTTAAAACATAATACCACACAATGAACCGAAGATGAGGAGATAAAGAGAGCAACAAAAGTAATATCACTGAGTATAAGTAATCAAAAGGATTTCCAATTAGAATCTTATATTTCCATACTTTTCACTTAAATATCAAACTCAAGTACTCTACTTTCCTCTCTCACTAAGGGATAAATAAGATATCACTCAATTCTCCTAAAGAAGAGTGTACTACCATAAGCTTGACTATAAATCGACTGTCTACTAAATAAATTAAATGCAAGTAAAAATTATGAGGTCTTTTTCAGGTTATAATGTGGTCAAGAGGTTATGATAATTTGAGGTGAGATAAATGAAAGAAAGGGGATATACAAAGGGTTAATAAATTATAAAAATTATAAACATTCCCTAAGTTTACAAATGAAGCTCTTGAAGTATTTTTTTATATTTTTGTATATGAACAGTATCTTTACTCTTCTCTCCTTTCAATCATATATAACCCATTTTCTTTTATTTTTTTTATTTTTTTTATTTTCTTTTTCATACTTTCTTTCTTTCTTTTTGCATATAAGAGATATAAATGAGAATTAATCAAACAATTCAACAACTAAATTGCTCCATTCATAAACTCAAGGTCATCAAAATATTTTATAAATTTAATGTAAGGGACCAAGAAAACCAATAAAGCTCAAAGTGGACAACTAGTTATATCTCAAACATGCTAAAGGCCAAGAATAAAAATCCTATTATGTCTCAGTCATATTAAAAACATGCAATTAAAAAGAGAAGTCTTAAGTCGGTTCCAAGTCAAGTTCTAGAGCACAAAACCTAAGGAGATAATCACACAAAACAATGAGGAAAGGGGTACAATTAATTAAATTAAGATAGAAATTCCCTGTAAGGCTCAAAACTCACATTTATGGGTTAAAGTTTAATGTAGAGCATAAAAGCAAGGAACCTAACTAATTATTAGTTTCCAAATGAAAGTATAATGCAAATATTAATCACTCAACATGTTATTCTATCTGGAAAAAATTGGGTTTCATGAGGGAAAAAGTTTTAAATTATCATAAAAAATAGTATTGGCACTTTACTCAGTAACATGCAAATAACAATCATATAATTAGGAACTACTCCTTCATACTTAAAGCGAAACATTGTCCTCAATGTTTGAAAGCAATTAACTTAAAAGCATGCAAAGAGGACAATTGAATAAAAAGGAAAGAGGTTCCCTGATAATTCTTGGCGCGACGGTTTCAGGTGAGGGAGCACGACCATGTTGAAATCTTGAGCACGTCCATGCTTATGATGTAAAGCTTTCTCTCATAACTGCGACTCAATGCATGACCGTGTATGTGATGAGCACAGGCGTGCTTCCAAATCAGAGCTTAAAAGTGTGGGAACAATCAACTCTGTTCTTGCAATCTTTCAATATGCTTATTCTTTATTCTAAAAATAAAATATAAGTAGCAAAAATTAAAATAAACAAAAAGAAATAAAATTTAAATAAAATAAAAGACACAGGTTGCTTCCTAGGAGCGCTTGTTTAACGTCACGAGCTTGGCGTTCCTGTTAAATCATGGTGGGAAGAAGGTATGAGTCTCAGAGGTGACTCCTTTGATATGCAATTGTCTCCCCAACAGCTTTGCCTCCCCAACACCTATTACATCAGAAAAATTATTCATAAGATGGGGATTAGAATAAAGAGAAGAAAATTTAAGCTTCGAATTAGGAGGCTTATTAATGGATGGTTTAAGCTTTTGTCTTTTCTTCTTCTTATATTGTTTCCTCCTTAGCCTTTTTCTTGTGGTTCCATGCTTCACATAAATTGGAGGAGGAGAAGCAACATCCATAGTGTTCACAAAGTGACACGACTCTTGGCTAGAAGGGTACTTGAAAAAATTGAAAACTTGAAATACAATTTCCTCATCATCTAGCCTCAGTGTGAGCTTTCCTTGCTGAACATCTATTATCGTTCTTCTTGCGGCTAGGAAAGGCCTCCCTAGTATGATGGGTACTTCGTCATCTTCTTCCATGTCAAGGACAATGAAATCTGTAGGAAACATGAACTTATCTACCTTGACTAGGACATCCTCCACTATGTCCCTAGGATACGCTATTAAACGATCAGCAAGCTGTAGAGAGATTGAAGTTGGCTTAGGTTCTTACATACCCAACCTTTTAAATGCAGAAAATGGCATTCGATTGATGCTAGCACCTAAATCACAGAGCGCTTTATCAAAATAATAATTGCTTATAGTGCATGGAATTGTAAAACTCCCTGGATCCCTAAGTTTAGGCGGCAACTTCCTTAGTAAAATTGCTGAGCACTCCTCATTCAATCTGACTATCTCGAATTCTTCCAATTTCTTTTTGTTGCTTAGCATCTCCTTGAGAAATTTAGCATATTTTGGCATCTGTGATATGGTTTCAACAAAAGGAATATTGATATGGAGCTTTCTGAGGATCCCAAGGAACTTATTGAACTGAGGGTCTCTCTGGCTACTCATCAATCGTTGTGGAAATGAAACTTTCAGTTTTGTCACCACTGGTGCATCTTCCCTTGTCTCCTTTTTCGCATCTGGGTGGTAAGCACGACCTTGCTCATCATCCAGCATGGGCGTGCCTTCATTGAGCTCGACCTTGCTTCCGTGTAGCACGGTCGTGCCTTCGTTGTCTGCAAGGGCATGCTGTTCTAAGCACGACCGTTTTATTTCAGGCAGCATGGGCGTTCAAATTTTTCTCACTTCTTAGAGTAATGGCATTGCATTGCTCCATTGGATTAGGCTCAGGTTGAGATGGTAGTGTTCCCATCACTCTTTGACTCAGAAGATTCGTAATTTGCTCCAATTGTGCACTCATCTTAGAGGAGCTGGCTTGTATTTCAGATTTAACCTCTGTGAACCTCTTATCAGTTCTCTTAATATGTTGGTCCAACTTGGATTCAAGCTCTGTCATCCTCTTATTAGAGTAATGCACATATTGCATCATCTGTTCTTGAAAGTTGGACTGAGATCTAGGAGCTTCTTTTCCTTTAGGTCTTGCTTCCTGAATTTGCACATGAGGAGGGAGATAAACACTTGAATTTTGACTTCCAAAGCCATTCCCCCAAGAGTTAGGAGGATTACTCCTCCACCCCAAACTGTGATTGCCCATAAAGTTTGCCTCTTCTTGCTTAAATTCTGGGCTTGCAGGAGCTCTTACAGGTTGGTCTTGAGCCTTCATTAAAGATTCTAGTTGCTTTGCAAGGGTTGCCATTTGGTTCATCAGTGGGCTGCTGCTCTCTGCTTGGTAGATCGGAGCGGTCTCTTTCCTCTTGATGTTGTAAGAGTCAGCGGTGTGCCACTGAAAGCTAGAAGATGACATCTCATCTATCAACTTGTATGCATCATCTAGATCTTTTCTTCTGAGGGACTCTTCTGCTGCGGCATCAATTGTAGCCCTGGTAGTGATTGATAGGCCACTGTAAAAAATTTGTACCTGTCTCCACGTTGAAAAATTATGATGAGGACATCTCCTCAAAAGCTCTCCAAATCGCTCCCATGCCTCGAATAAGGATTCTGCTTCATGTTGTTGGAAGCAACATATCTTTGTCATAAGCTTAGAGGACCTTGATGGGGGAAAGTACTTTTCCAAGAATTGTTGAGTGAGATCCTCCCAAGTTCTGATGGAGTTGGCTGGGAGTGAGGCGAACCAAGCATTCACCTTTTCAGATACCGAGAATGGGAAAAGATGGAGTCGAATAGCATCGTTGGAGACTCCATTGTACTTGATGATATCCGTCAATCGAAGGAACTTTGTCAGATGAAGATTGGGGTCTTCATTAGGCATGCCTACAAATTGTATTAAGTTTTGGACCATGGTTATAAGTGCTGGTTTCAATTCAAAATTGTTGGCCTCCACATTTGGTGCCGCAATGCTTCCAGGAGTGCCTCTGACATTGGGTGTCATGTAATCTTGGATTGATCTCCTTCCCTCTGCCATTCTTTGTTCTCTCACTTCTTTTCTTTGTCTACGAACTGTCCTTTCAATTTCTGGATCAAACAAATAAGCTGTAGAACACTTAGAACGAGTGAGCATACATCAAAAGTAATTTAAAAAAAATGAAAATAAAATAAATACGACAATTATAAAAATATAAAAGAAAATTCTAACAAAGAACAGAACAAAAAATAAAACAAAACACAAGTTACTCAAATCAATTAAATTCGAGATTTTTTTAATATTGAATAAGCAATCCTCGGCAACGGCGCCAAAAACTTGTTCGGAGGGCAAGTGTACCCATCGAGAAGTAATAAAAGGTTCTTAAGTTAAGTTTCTGAAATATCATCCCACAAGGATTGATTTTCAATTACTAAGAATTTCTTAATTCAATTGTTTAAGCTTCAAAGATACGAGATTAATTAAAAATAAGAATTTATAAAATCAATTATAAAACTAAGAGCAAGGAATACACTGCACGCCTTGGTTAAACTTATCGGAGAGGAACCTAGGGCATATGAGTTTTCTCATTCAATCCTTTATGTTATTTTTCTATTTAACTCTAAATTCGATTTCCTTGTGATTACCAATCATTCATACGAATACTATTAATATCCAATGGTCATGCAATATTAATATTCTTTTCTCTAAATTGACATTCTCAATGGTCATGCAAGACATTAATTTAATAAAGCTTTAAGAGCCTACGAATTTGTTAATTTAATAATGATTAGAAGAGAAAGATTGGTTTGGTCCACCTAATCCTTTGTCTCGTTTTATCCTATAGATCTCATATAATTAATTAGGATTAAGAAAGAAGCGCAATATGATAAAATCTAATCACAAAACAGAAATCAAATTTAAATTCAAATATCAAAATTCTACAAATTCATGAATAATAGTTCCCATAGCCCTAGCTATGGACTTAGTTACTCATGCTAAAAAAAAGAACTAAAACAATCATAAACAAAACCATAATAAAAAAAAAAAGCAAACTAGAGTGTGAGATGTGTTTCTGATCTTCAAGTACGATCGCTTGAAGTTCCAAGTATCGCCAAACATGTGCTAAGGATCCCGTACAAGAGAGACGAGATCAGATGTATTCTAGAGCCAAAGCCAAGATGTAAAAGCAGTCCTTTTTCTAATGGTGCCTCAGGTCTTCCTTTTAATAGGGTTTGAAAACCCTAAAAATTCTTCATAATTGGGCTTCCCGCATATGAGCACGGCCGTGCATGGGCTCGAAGCACTCCCATGCTTATTGAATGAGTCTGGGCGTGCTGACTGCTGCGAAACTCTAATTTTTCATCAATTTGGGCCTAGAATGTACCAAAAATACACTTGCAGCCTCTTTATACCAAACTGCACAATTAATATATAAATTAGTGTAAAACGTAAATAAAATAAAGATCAAATATAAATATATGAGCTGTAAAAGAGGGTCTAATTACATACTTATCAATAATTTATTGTTATAATTATTTATTTAAAATTTTATAATAATAAATGATTTGTGATATCATGAAACAATATAAATTTTATTTTTACATTGTAAAAATAAGATATTTGATAGTATATTATTTTATACTAAGAAATACTAAATTATATATATTTTAAATAATAATTTATTTTGACAAATACATTTTTTTATTATATTTATATATTTTTATATTTAAATTATATATTTTAAAATAAATTAATTTAATAAAAAAATAGTATCGGACATATTTTCTAATAATATTTAAACTTAACTCTACTATTCTTTATTTATTATGATATTATATGAGAGATAATAAATTCATAAACTATGTTACTCTAAAAATAAAAAGTCACAAATGTATAATAAAAATAAATACACATTTTTATATTTATTTATTAAATTAAATATTAATTAGTTGAAAGTTTATACTATATGCACATTTATATCTTTTATATAAAATTTAATTCTATATTATATATAAAAAAGAAAATCTAATTAAAAATACTATAAAAACCTAATAATTAAATTCAGACCATTTTAAATTAAATTAGATTTAAAATTTAAGTTAATCCAATCCAAATTGAAAACACAAGATAGTTTTTCTTGGTTGAATAACCTTAATTGAGATACTCTTACAAAATGAACTGAGTTTCCCAATGGAAGAAGCTTCTTCCTCTACACTCTCCCTCAATCCCAAACCTATTCATTGTTCATTTACCAATCCCCCCACTCTTGTACGATCCTTTCCTCATCATTTTCCGTTTGTTTCTCGGGAAAATTAAATCACCATAAAACCAAATCCCTACCAAACCCCAATTAAAAAATAAATAAATCGAATTTTGATTTTCCAAAAGAAAATTCGAAATCAAAATACGGAACACAGTTCGATCACTCGGAGAGCTTCCACGCATGGCGGCGGCGAAACCCCAACGGACTCCAGAGGAAGTGGAGGACATCATCATCCGCAAAATCTTCCTCGTTTCTATCACCGAAAGCAGCAATAGCAACAACGATTCAAGAATCGTGTACATGGAAGTAACGGCTGCTGAGATTCTCAGCGAGGGCAAAGAGTTGCGGCTCTCGCACGATTCCATGGAGAGGGTTTTAATCGATCGACTTTCCGGGGATTTCTCCTCCGCCGGTGCCGGAGACGAATCACCGTTTCAGTACCTCGTCGGTTGTTACCAGCGTGCCCACGATGAGGGAAAGAAAATCGCTAACATGAAGGACAAGAACTTGAGGTCGGAGATGGAAGCGGTGGTGAAGCAGGCGAAGAAACTCTGTGTTTCTTACTGCAGGATTCATTTGGAGAATCCTGAATTGTTTCCGAGCCGGAATTCGGGCTCCGGAGCTAGTTCTTCGCCGCTTTTGCCGCTGATTTTCGCGGAGGTCGGTGGCGGCATGTTTGGCAGCGGCGGCGGAGTGAAGAGTCCGCCGGGGTTTCTGGAAGAGTTTTTTAGGGACCCTGATTTTGATAGCTTGGACCGAATTCTGAAAGGGTTGTATGAGGAATTGAGAGGGAGTGTGATGAAAGTGTCTGCTCTTGGGAATTTTCAGGACTCTTTGAGGGCTTTGCTGTATTTGGTTAGGTTTCCCGTCGGTGCGAAGTCCCTTGTGAATCATGATTGGTGGATTCCCAAGGGTGTTTATGTGAATGGCCGTGCCATTGAAATGACCAGCATTTTGGGTCCCTTTTTCCATATCAGTGCTCTTCCTGATCAAAACTTTTTCAAGGGCCAGCCTGATGTTGGGTGAGCTTAATTTTTTTGGTTTAGGTGTTATGTTTGGTTGTGAATTTTGTTTGTTTGAAATTCAATAGTTGATAGTTTTTTAGTATTCTTGCTTTTCTCATTGTTTAGATTCTCTTATGAAGCCTAGAGACATAGTATGACACGGGTATGATATGGATACGGTGATACAGGAGATTCTTGATAATTCAAGATACAATACAGCCTAGATAGGTTAGCATGAATTAAAGTTTTTACTAAGTTGCAGTGCAGTAAAATATATAGAAAAAAAGTAAAAGCTTCAATAAATTACCAAATTTGTTGTAAAATGCCCAAATAAAAGAGGAGGATGGTACTTTAATGGTGGGATTGTGAAGTCTAGAACAAAAGTAAGGCTTATGCAATTATGAGTGTCTTGATGTGTGAGCTATAACCAAAACAGGATTGACCACTGTGACTTGCCAACCTCCACCACTTGAGCAGAAGTGCGTGACTTTACAACACCTAGAAATCACCGAGTCATTTGCAAAAAAGATCAGCAACGACTTGCCACTACTGCACTAGAAATGCATTACTTTTGTGAGACCTGAAAGCACTGCTATGTGCAAAAGTTCTGTGACCAAGCAAAAGTGTTGGGTTTTGCAGGATCCACAAGAACTGAGTCCTAATTGTGGAAGATGAGACTCATGCTGTCCACAAGCCCTAGCCATAAGTGATGAGACTTGTGTTGCTGGTAGAAGACTCAAGTGTCAAAACAGATGTGCAATTGTTGAAAGTTTGAAACACACTGTTTCAATATCAAATAAACTAAGAGTATTGTATCTTATAGTCCAAGAATGTTTTAAGCCATATCCCAGTTGTATCTCAACTGTGTCAGAGCACCAATTCTTTTTTTTTTTTAATTAAAAAAAATTGAGATACTTTTTAGAGATGTATCCAGACTTTATCGTACATGTATCATTAGATACATGTCCAACACCGATACTTTGATGAATTTGGAGTATCCAGGTTGAAAGTTTGGATTGGTAAGGAATTAAAGAGAACAGTATTACATGTGATTGGTTGCTTTTGTTTTTGTAAACTTGGTTAGAGTATCTGATAAGTTAAGCAAACTTGAGTGATTTTATGAAACAATGTCAACTTTATAATTTTGATGTGCTTATTGATTCTATCCTTTGGTTTCATAGAATTGAAACAAATGGTTTGTGGGCAACAAGCTGGTCCATAAGCAAATTATTGGTCTGTTGTTGTGAAGTGAAACCTAAGGATATTCCTTGGCTTGGACTTTGAGAAGTTTTACAAACAATTTCTTGATTCATGAGGCTTCCCTATTCTTTAGATGTATTTAGATGGGACAGGGATTCTGTTTTTGTGCGTTTAGCCAATAGGTAGTAAATTCCCCCTACTCCCACAATAAGAAAAGAAGAAAAAATAATATTAAAAACTCAGTTACCTTAAAATATAGATTGATAGTTATATTCAATTACCATTATGGGTTGCCTTCATTTAATATCTCATATTCAGCAGCTTGTTTCCTTGAATAAAGAACTACACCATAACTAATTTCCCCTCCTTTCTCATCCCTTCCTTGTTGCTAGTGCATTATAGACTTACATTCATTTGTCCCATTCTTTTTTCTTTTTATTTGCAACCCTACATTCTCATTCTAAGGAAATGAAAGAAGAGTGGAGGAGTAGTACTATATACTCAAATCTCTATTTATAACAAGGGAGTATACAAAATTACACAAATTGTAGGGGGATCAACCTCATGAGTTGTATTATGAAGTTATGAAAAAAGGGTAACTAAGAGTAGATCAAGACAAGAAACACACATGATTAAATATCAATTTGGATTTGAGCCATGGAGGTCAACCAAGGAAACAATATACTCGTTGTAATGTTTAATGGAGAGAAATTAACAAAAACAAATCAAGTCTTATTTTACTAGGTGAGGTCCATTCCATGGATCAGACAATGCCATTGAGCTTAGTCAAAAATCAAATTTTCAGAAATTTAGTTAATTAAAATTTATTTTTTAATAACTTCGTCTAAGATTTTTCTGGGTCGAGGCTTTTTACAGGACTAAAAGTCATGCAATCCACTTTTTTTATTGTGCATCCAAAGGTTTTCTTTACACATGACCAAACCATCTTAGATGATTTTCAGTCATCTTTTTTACTACAGGTGCTATTCTAATATTTTCTCGTATACTATTATGTTGTATTATGTCATTTCTTATGTGTTCACTCAACCACCTTAATATTCTCATTTCTTCCACTCTTACTTTTTTTCTCATGTTGTTCCTTTAAGGCCCAACGTTCATTGATGACAGATATGACCAAATAATTGAGTTTATGAAAGTTAAAGCAATCCTCACTTTTTGAGCTAATTTTAGGGTTGAGTTAGACTTGAGACTAAATTTAAGAGGTGAGAACACAAAATGGGGTCATAGTGGATTTTCATTTAACCATAGGCTACACCAAAGGTAAACTTTGATACTTTATCTCTTCACCTTAGTGTTGAAGGTCCTTACTAAGCAAATCCAAGAGCTAGTGCCATGATGGATGCTTCGTATAGACAATATAGTTTTGGTTGGAGAAGCAATAGAGGAAATAAATTGGATGTTAGAGGTGCGGAGATGAGCTTTGGAAGATCATGGTTTTTGCATAAGTAGTAGTAGGACAATACAAATTATATGAAATGTAAGTTTAGAAAGACAAAACATAGCATAGAGGCAAAACTTGGAGAACTTACTAGCCCGTTAGTCATATGATTTAAGAATCTAGGATCCATCATACAAGATTATGGAGAGATAAACTGGAGATGTAAACCATATGATTCCAGCAGGTTGGATGAAATGGAGGAGTGCTGGTGCATTAGGTATTATCTGTAATAAAAGAATTATCATTCAAGCTTAAAGGAAAATTTTACTGCCCAGCTATAAGATCTACATTGAATGTTGGACTGTAAAATGTCAACAAGAGAATAAACTCAAAGTAGCAGAGATGAGAATGTTGTATTGGATGAGTTGACATGCTTGACAAAGATATCATTTGGAATGACTGCATCAGGCAAAATGTTGTGGTAGCACCTATTGTAGAAAAGTTATTAGAATCTTCCCTTAGGTGGTTTTGACGTGTGGGGAAGACTTGTAGAAGCCCCATCTAATGAAGGGTAGTCCAGTCTGTAGAGACAGAGGCAGATTGAGAAAAACTATTGGTGAAACAAGTAGGAAGGACTTAGAGGTCAATAATTTATTTATAGACACAATTTTTTGTTAACATTATGGTGTTGTTTGATTCTTACGGTCAACTCCCACTAATGGTAGAAGGCTTGGTGGTTGTTTCTTTGCAACCCTATATTTTTGTTCCACTTCTTGCTTATTGTTTTCCGGTTGAAGTCTGTTTACCATACAAACCCTAGTTATGAGATTTATTTGGATGGGATATTTTATTGTTTATTATTGAATCAGGTCCCTTTTTTAACAATTTTTTCTCTCCTTTGAAATCCAGGCAGCAGTGTTTTTCTGATGCATCAACTAGGCGACCATCTGATTTGTTGTCTTCATTTTCTACCATCAAAACTGTCATGAACAACTTATATGATGGCCTAGCTGAAGTACTACTCATCCTCCTTAAAAGTACAGATACTCGTGAAAACGTACTTAAGTATCTTGCAGAGGTGATCAATATAAACGCATCCAGGGCCCATATACAGGTAAATTACTTTCCTATCTGCATGTTTTTTTGGTGGTAGTATTGTAAAATAAGATAAATTGTATTCAATTGCTTCTTTTGTGTTCTATTTTATTATGTTTTTTGGGGGGAACAGGTTGACCCTATTGCTTGTGCAAGTTCTGGCACATTTGTGAATCTCAGTGCTGTCATGCTTCATCTATGTGAGCCATTTTTAGATGCAAATTTAACGAAAAGGGATAAAATTGATCCAAAATATGTACACTACTCAAAGCGTTTGAATCTAAGGTGAGGGCATTGTATTGTAAACATTAAAATTGTCATGGAAGTTTCGTGTATATCCATCCCTATAGGTAACATTTTGTTATGATCTTATTCTAGTGGGTTGACTGCTCTTCATGCATCATCAGAAGAAGTGGCTGAATGGCTTAATAGTAAAAATCCAGCTAATACTGGGGGAACCAGTCAATATAATGATGACCAGAAACGCTTGCAACAATCCCAAGAGGCCAGTAGTTCTGGTAGTAATAATGCTGGTGAGCTTTCAAATGAAAATTCTGCACGTGGTGAAAAGACGAAATATTCATTTATTTGCGAATGCTTCTTTATGACTGCAAGAGTGCTCAACTTAGGCCTTTTAAAAGCATTTTCTGACTTCAAACACTTAGTTCAGGTAATCACATGTTTGGGTAGAATTAAAAGTTGTTAGTGTTATTATTTTATGGGGGCAAACTTTATTGTTGCCTTATCTTTTATCTGGTTTGAATGATTTCTTCCAAAGATATGTAAAATATAAACACTGGAGTCTTATTATATACAGGACATTTCTCGGTGTGAAGATGCTTTCTCCACACTTAAAGCCATGCAGGAGCAGTCACCCTCTCCTCAGGTGGAATTGGATATAAATCGACTTGAGAAAGAAATGGAGTTGTACTCACAGGAAAAGCTTTGTTATGAAGCTCAGATATTGAGGGTAGGTCCTGATTTTTATCCCCCCCACATCTCTCTGGAGTATCTTGTTATCTATGTTAGCACGTGATTAATGTATGAAAATAAAATAAGTTGCTTGTGTGCTTCCAAGTTATCTTGTAATCTGTAGAAATAGTACTTGTACATCCTATCTTATTATTATTTATATAATGTCATATGGATCTTAATGTACTAATTTAGTACTACATCTTGTATTTCTGTAGTCTGTACATAGGTCTCTTTTCTATAAATAAAACTAATCCTGTACAGTGCTATTCACTTAAACTTCTGCTCCAAAAGGTTTCTCTCTGAGATTCTTCTCTCTTCATATGCATATGGTATATGTTCCTAGAGTAGAAACACTAGTTTTCTCCTCCTTTTCCTCTATGTCCCATCTTCTTGCAGTCTCTTAGGGAGAACCAAAAACTAGTAGACTGTTGTCACTTCATATAGTGAGAAGATTTTTGTTCTGTTACAATTTTTCTAGTTTTGTCGGGTAACAAGCTGTAGACATATGATTTGTATACTCTCTTTTTTCTCGCCGGGGGGAGGGGGGGTTGGTTTAGTGTATTACAGATTGTGGTATTATACAGCGGTATTCTTGTACTGAATCTTGTACCACAGGATGTACCTCCCTATGCTATAATGTAATGTGTATGGTGATATTTATTTGGACCTTCTCTCAAATGGGGTTCCCTTTCTGCTTTTTCTTATAGTAGTGTCCCCTTTCTATTTTTCTTTTGTGACTTTGGGCATTTGTAGAGCCTAAAGGTGCTTTTCTACCTCAAGGATTATGTTCTTCTAAGTTCCAAGTCAAATGTTTATTGAAGAGAAGTTTGATACTTGATTCATCAATCGTTTGATGTAGACAAGTTCCTGTTACTTTAAGTGTTCTTTCTAGCTTACAAGTTTTACATTTTCAATATTTTTAATTTGACTCAATGGCTTCACATTTTTCTCCTTAGGATAACACACTTATTCAGAATGCACTTTCCTTCTACCGCTTGATGATTGTTTGGTTGGTTGGCTTAGTGGGTGGATTTAAGATGCCTCTACCCCCAACTTGCCCAATGGAATTTGCTACCATGCCTGAGCATTTTGTGGAAGATGCCATGGAACTTCTAATATTTGCTTCCCGGATTCCAAAGGCCTTAGATGGAGTTGTGCTGGTTGACTTCAACTCAGACTTTTCCTTGGATTAATTCTTTCTCTCCCAAATTCTTTTTATGTAAGATAATGAATTATATTGCTCTGCAGGATGAGTTTATGAACTTTATTATCATGTTCATGGCCAGTCCTAACTTTATCAAGAACCCATACTTGAGAGCAAAGATGGTTGAAGTCTTGAACTGCTGGATGCCTCGTAGGAGGTAATTGATGTCTCTCATTTGCATAATTAAAAGTAGAGGGACTTAATTAGCTCAAAAAAAAAAACAAGATAGAGGGACTAAAATCGCACATATGCCAAACTAAAGGGACCAAAAATGCAATTAAGACATCATTATATTGCTTAATTTTGTTTGAAGCCTTCAGGCTAAATAATTGAGTGTCTGTGTTCCCTTGCTCTATTCCTTTTTGCAGTGGCTCATCTGCTACAGCTACTCTATTTGAAGGGCATCAACTCTCTCTTGAGTATCTTGTGAGGAATCTTCTGAAACTTTATGTTGACATTGAGTTCACTGGTTCTCATACACAGGTTGGTCTGCATTTCAAGACTACATTTGTGTCATGACCAGCTTCCCCTCATCCCTCCCCCTCCCCCTCGCCCTCCCCCTGCTGTCAATTTCTAGATTAATATGAAGAATATAGTTGTATTGTTTGGAAATCACCTTTCTTTGTGACTGTCTTGAAACTGAAGCTTGAGCATGATGTCAGTCATGATAGTGGTCCTGTTTACTGAATGATGACTTAAGATGGTCAAATAAATGCTTTATTATAATCCTATGCATGCAAAACTTATTAATTTTATTTCATACTGTTTCTCCAAGTTTCTATATGGCTCATAGTTTATTGCCTCTTATATGATTTCATGTATTCACATATATGAATATACACATTACATCCATGAGTTTCAGTAATTGAAATCAGTAGACTTTCTGTGATGTTGAATACAAGAGCTAGCTAATTGTCTTAATTGTCACTTGTCCATTACAGTTCTATGACAAGTTTAACATCCGCCATAATATTGCCGAACTCCTTGAATACCTGTGGCAGGTCCCTAGTCATCGTAATGCTTGGAGACAGGTAATAGTTGAATTTGTTTTTTATCTCACATCGTACTCAACTGTATCTAACCTTTTCTGAACTTAATTTTCTTCCAGATTGCTAAAGAGGAGGAAAAGGGTGTCTATCTGAATTTCTTAAACTTTCTGATTAATGATAGTATTTATCTTCTTGATGAAAGTCTGAACAAAATTCTTGAGCTAAAAGAATTGGAGGCTGAGATGTCAAATACAGCTGAGTGGGAGCAACGACCAGTTCAAGAGAGGCAGGAGAGGACCCGATTATTCCATTCTCAAGAAAATGTCTGTTGACTTTTTGTCCAATATATAATTATGTATCTGCACATGTTTTTTAAAATTATCTAATAAAGCATTTAATGCTTGATAATTTTGTAGATTATTCGGATAGATATGAAGTTGGCAAATGAAGATGTCAGTATGCTTGCATTTACTTCAGAGCAGATTACTGTTCCATTTCTACTTCCTGAGATGGTAACTTTTCTCTCTTTGCAACCTTGGCATCTCTTTCATCTTGTCATCTCTTAAAATAGTTTTAGTGGCTGAACTACAATGTTCCTTTGAAATTTGTTATTCTCCTTATGTGTTTAATCTTATTTATCCACTTTTTCTAGGTTGAAAGAGTGGCTAGCATGCTCAATTACTTTCTCCTTCAATTGGTGGGTCCCCAAAGAAAATCCCTTAGTTTGAAGGATCCTGAGAAATATGAATTTCGTCCAAAGCATTTGCTAAAACAGGTTGGCATCAACTATAATTCAAAATCATTTAAAGTGAAATTCTTTTGTATCGTGAATGAACATGACAGGAGAGGTGTGCTATTCTTTTGTGCTCCGTAGGCTCAAATGTCCCCGTAATAGAATTGGTTCTAAAAATGTTGTATTTACATCTTCATTGATCCTAGGAATATGAAGCACTTCAATTTTGGATTGGTTTGTTTATAAATGATATACGCTTTTGACTTTTGAGCCTGCAAAAAATCCACTTAATGACTATTTAGATATAAAATCACTCTTAGTGCCCTATCCAACAGCTTGAGTTTTTAGGAAATTCGGTTCTTGACATGGTGTTAGAATATCTATCCAAGTCTTGCTGCTCAGCCTCCGATAGTCCAATTCTTCATTACTAGTCAACACTCATCTGGGCAAAGATGCAAGGTTTTTTTTTTTTTTTATTAGTTTGGTCCTTCAGTAATAAATACATCAAAATGATTCTTCAGTTGTCAATTTTTGAAATCAAATTGACATTTAAATTGGCCCATTTTTTATGGACTCGAAATAAAAAGTTGACATTGAAAGGTCATTTTGATAATTGGAGGCCCAAACTCGATGACACATGTATCTTTGAAGGAATAGAATGATGGGTGTTTAGTCCTAAATTTCTGTGCAAGGTAAAGTGGGCTTATATACTGTCTACATGCTTCAAGATCAAATGGTTCTGGCATGACAGGGGACCCTTCTTGATATGCTTTCTTTGTATTAGATGGAGTTGTGCTGGTAGACTTCAACTCAGAGACTTTTTCTTGGATTATTCCTTTCCGAATTCTTCTTAAGTAAGATAATGAATTTATATTGCTCTGCAGGATCACAGGTCTCACGTGTATCTTTGATCTAGGCTTGCAGAATAAAAAACCATTTTTGTTCTTTACTATTTATTTTTAATATAAATATCAATAATGGTTTTATTAGTGTTTTTGGAAGAGGGATACGAGGAGGTTGGGACCAGAATCTTGTATTTCTTTTGTATTACATGACTCAAATATATTACTAATAATTTTATTTTTCTTGGCAAACTACTAACTTCATTTTATTCATTTGAAGATTGTGCACATATATGTTCATCTGGCTAGGGGTGACAAGAATTCCATCTTCCCAGCTGCCATCTCAAAGGATGGTCGATCATACAATGATCAGGTAAGTTTTATGGGACTTATGATATACTTCAGATTGTTCTCAAGTGACTGGTACTTCATTGCAGTTGTTTAGTGCTGCGGCAGAAGTCCTACATAGAATTGGCGAGGATGGGAGGATTATACAGGAATTTATTCAACTTGGCTCAAAAGCAAAAGTTGCTGCTTCAGAGGCCATGGATACTGAAGCTACTCTAGGGGAAATCCCAGATGAATTCCTCGATCCAATTCAAGTGTGTTTTCCGCTTCTTTCTGTGTGTTCATAGGCTTTTATATTTTTTTTCCTTTTTTGGGGGATGGGTATGACCCATATTTAATAATTGATATGAAAAATTAAAATTTTATTCACGACCAGGTGCGTGTTTGCTTGTCATTATTTTTAGGGAAATATTGCTTTCTTTTTGTTCCAAAAGCTCTAAAAAATGATGTTTATAAGCTGTTGTGAATTACCATACATGACCCCCTTTCTTGTGTACAGTACACTTTGATGAAGGATCCAGTTATCTTGCCTTCTTCAAGGATCACGGTTGATCGTCCCGTCATTCAAAGGCATCTTCTTAGTGATAATGTACACCTTTGATCGTTTGTTCCTCATTTACATTATGTTCATATAGAGAAGAGTTTCCTTTATTTATGCTTTTTTCTATTTGGTTGTTTGTGCAGTCTGACCCATTCAACCGTTCTTATCTCACTGTGGATATGCTGATTCCCAATGATGAGCTAAAAGCAAGAATTGAGGAGTTTGTCAGGTCTCAGGAAATGAAGAAACACGGCGAAGGACTAAGGCTACAGAATACCAAAGCAACCATTCAGACTACGAATGGAGAAATGTTGATTGATTAGGAAAATTCAGTTTCCTAACTTGTCGAATGAAATGAATTTGTGCCATGCGCATAAAGTTAGGTGTTGAACCTTAATACAATCTTATTCATTGTTTTTTGAAAAATTTAAGGCTATCGTTAGAAGTTTAATGCTGTAAAGATATTTGGAACGGTTATTGTAAAGAAGTCATCCGATTGACCACTGCGATAAAATTCTTTACGGATATAGGCCTAAAGGACCTTTTTTAAAGCTATTCCCAACACTAGCCCGCTACAAATCTGCATTTACTTTGGCCTCCGTGAGCCAATCAAATTTATTGCAAATCGGAGGTATTTTGATTGACGATGTTTTTTGCTGCTGCAGTGCAAAGGACGGTAAAGTATCCACTCTGGGGATGCTGCTTCTGGCTTGTCAGAAGCAGTTAGGCTTCTTTTTCTGATATTAATTATGTCAGACATCCATGACCAATCAAGGAATCAATTTATAAAGCACTTAGGAATTCATCAACATGACACGAGTTGCTTCAGAACTGTATGTAGTACTGGACCCATCGTACTGCATTTAGAACAGTTATCGCAAACAAGCTTCCTTTACTGTTTTTCTAAATGTTGTGAAGTTGTATACTACGGCATTTTCTCTCAATTACCCATTTCAAAAAACGTGGACTTGAATCACTGCGGGCACGGTGTGTGATTCATCAGACTCAACATTTCATTAATAAGTAAATCAATATCTTCACAATAACAGCTCCAGGATTTTTGTAAGGTGAAAACATCTATCCGGTTGATGGCACTTTTAAAGAATAAACGTGTTACTTTGGCATCAATACAAGACAGTAGACTAGCCTTGTGCCATCTATGTCAAGTTATTACTGCATGCCAACAATAACATGCATTAAACTAGCAACATTCAAACCAAAATCAGTTTAAGACTTTATATAAGCTCATTTCCAAGTAAATTAAGCATCAATTAGCTCCATTCTGCCACTCGTAGACAGACTTTCAAGTTATGATCTTCACATGAAATAAAGTCAGTCATTATGATGTCTAAAAAATTAACATTAAATCCACCTGAACAAATGTTAAAGTCAAAAAGTTAATATAACTGTAGTATCCTTACAAAATGTAGAGAAAGAAGGCCGGCCAAAAAGTTTCTCTCCCTACTTTATTATTACCACAAACAAGTCAATATTCTGACCAGTCATTTTTTCTTCTCTTTCAGTCAAGAAGAAAGAGTGCTTTTTGAGATGACATCAAAAGACATTCCATTTTGTTGGAGTCTTTCTTGGAGATCAGTTGGACCAAATATTATCCCTGGAGGGTAAACTCCTCCTTTTGGTAGGTTGTTTCGTTGGGTGTGAAGAATAAGAGCACACTGAACCAGAATTATTGGGGTGGTAACATAACCCATTTCGGGTCCCATTACCCGAGTTATAATTTCCATGTCAGGTTTTGTGTTTCCCTGTGCAGCAAGTCTCTCATTCCTGAAACCATGTCCAACAAACCACATCTTGAATGAAGCACTTGCAATCTCCTCTTCGGAAGGGCCATTCTTACTAAACACACCTAAGCTAAAGATTGAAGGGTACTTCAAAAGAAGCCATCTTCCAAAACTGATACGTCCTAAAAGGCCAATGATTATACCGATCATAATATATCCAAACATGAGCAACACAGATTTTGAGCCTACCTTGACACCAAAATGAGCTGGCTTCACAGATGACCAAAAGGCTTTCCTTTTCTCAACCACCTCAGCACTCTCATTCAACCCGGTGAGACCATCGGGGTTTTCTGTTAGAATTGAAAGTGTTTTTCCAACAAGAGTTGCATCAGCTGAAGGTAGTGTCACTCCCCAAAGTCCAATTTTCTTCTGGTGTTGTATAATTTCTCCTTTAGGTGGTGGCCCGGGAATCTATAACCATGCACGAATATTACAAGTTGGCAAAAAGACATAGATTATGAAAAATATTATTCAGATAAAGAAAAGAAAAGAAAATAACAAAGCTCATGTAATCTGATTGCTCGTCATAAACATAACAAACAACAAAGATATTGAATCAAATTCGAGTAAACCGCTTTTATTTAATGTCCATGTGATTTAAAGTTTGAAATCAAATTAATATTAAAATTTTGGCGTAAAAAAATGCACTTTGCAACGAAAGACACATACGCCAATCATTATTCAATTTAAGTTATATTTTTATATTAGAACATATAAAAATTAACTTTTGAATTAAAAAGAAAAGAGTTAAGTGTGATGATATGATACCACAGGTCTCACTCTGGTGGCTCTGAGCCCTTCCATCTGCTTCAAATCGGCAACAGCCAGAACCGCAGATTCAAAGGTTCCAAAATTACCCACCACCCTCTTCTCCGATTCCACACTCAGGTAACCTTCTACACGATTTGGAACATACCCTTCAACCCATTCCCTCGAATGGAACAAAAACCCTAATTCAGCAGGAACCGAATCGAACCCACATGCCGACACCACCAAAGAACCCTTCTTTAACGCCCTCTCGTGGTACGTGCGCTCCACGCGCCCCATGAACTCCGCTTCCCCAGTTATGTCCAAGTAGTCGCATCCCGCTTCCACGCAGGCGGAGACGACGGGCTCGCCGTGGCGGCGGAATGGGCCGACGCAGTTGAGGAGGAGGCGCGTCTGGCCGCAGAGGGCGCGGAGCGACGATGGGTCGGCGGTATCGGCGGCGATTATTGGAATCGGAGGTGGTGGGTTGGGCCGGGTGGCCCATTGGAGGGTTTGGGCCAGCTTTGATGGGTCTCGGCCCGCTATAGCTACGGAGTTGAATGTGTTGAGGAATTTGAGGGTTTCTTGAAGGACGTGTTTGCCTGTGAAACCTGATGCTCCTAGGATTACGACGTCGAAGGTTTGCTTCGTTGCTCCTGACACTGCCATTCTTTCTCACTTCCACTTCACCCTAACTCAACTCTCTGCTTCTAAACACTCTTATTCTTAGTTTATCCATTTTGATTCTTTAATTTTATAATTTTGAATAAGTTTCACTTCATAAGTCAGTGTGTCTAAAAAAAAAAATATATTTAAATATGTTCCAAGTTGTTATATTTTACTCTCTTTTTTTCTTTTCGTACAATTATTTTATTTTAGTTCCTATTTTTTATAAATTATTTTTTTTAACTTTTTTAGTTGATAAGATCCAATCCAAAGTTAACACTATATTTTAATGTACTAACAATAGAAGTTAAAATAAAAATGTATAAAAAATAAAAAAAATATTTAAAAAAACTAAAACAAAAAATTCTTTAAAATATGAGGACTATTAAAACTAAAAAAAAAAATACATTTTAACACTTTTTATTAATAAATGAGATTTATACATCAAATTATTGATTTTTAATATGGTTTAAAAATATGTAATAAAAAAATTAATAAATAACAATTTTTTTATTGTAAATTATAATAATTTATATAAATTAATTTTTCAATATAACGAAAATAATTCATTCATATTCATTGTATAATTATAAACGGTGCATCAATTCTTTAAATAAGTGAGAAGAATTTGAATATACTTGTATGCTTTTGTGAGTTTGTCATTAAGGAATTATTTTCCTCTTTGAACTCTTGATATGTGATAATAGCCAATTAGAATCTCCTTTGCCACTTGCCTCAGAAAACCAAAGCTTAAGAAGTTGAAAGTTGAGGTAACTAATAGCTTTTAATAACATCCCTAATTAACACTTAGTGTATAAGTCCATAAATATTACAGGTTAACATTTCAATCCATTAAAGAGATAATAATAAAAGTTATGGAAAAATAAAGTATTAGGAAGAGATAAGTCATTAGGTAAACTTTTATCATCTGTTGGAGCTTGATTAATCAAATGATACAACCCCACTAATCTACTATTTGCTTTATGGTCCACTACTTTTAATATTTACAAAATTTAGTTGCAGTTTCATAAAACTTTAATTTTAATTAATCAACATTACTAACAACATACATAATAAGTTTTTTCCCTCCAACAATCCTTGCATATACAAAACTTGCCATTGTCTTATAACAACCAGCTTTTTTTCCCCTTCAAATGTTCTCTTTCTTTCTTATCAACTAAAGTACAAAGGTATATAAATAATGGTGTGCATTAAAAATGGATGAACTCAATTTTCAATGTTGTCAATCTTGTGTCATTGATAAACATGCATTGAAGTTAACCCCAAGTGGTAAATGATCCTAAAGGTCTAGTTAATAGAAGCAAGATCACCCTCCATTAAAATATGATAGATCTCTAGCTGTCTTTGTTTGAAAAAGAAGGAAAAGAAATGTAGCTGTCAAACAAATAATTTTTTATGCATTCAATGGATGTAGCATAACACAAATCAATTAGATGGATTGGTCTATATCTAACATAACTACAATGATAATGATTTTAGATGTGTCAATCCCAACATGCTTTTCTACATCAATGAATATATAATATCTTTTAAAATTATTTTACTTTTTTTACCGTACATTTACTGTTATTCGTGACACAACATGAATGTTTACCATTTTAATTTTTATTTTTAAAACAAATTATTAAAATAATATTTTTTAAAAAACAATTTTCTTATATAGAATTTTTTGTTTTATCATTGCAAGTTTCATCTATCTAAGAGATAAAGTTGTATTTTTTATTTTTTAATTAAATTTCATTTACTAAAAAGACAAATTTAGGAGATTAAAATATGTATCAAAATCTTGTTAAATTTTCTTTGTATCATATATAAAATTTATTTTTTAAAATTTTTGTATATTATAAAAATGAAACTTATTTAAAAAAAATTAAAGAAATTTCGCACTCTAAAGAAATGAAATTCAAGAGCATATCATACATTTTAAAATTTCAAGCAATATTATCTAACTTACTAAACTAGTTTGAAAAAAAAATTATATTTTTGAGAAGGTGGATTCCACATTTTTGTAAGTAAAAAACACATTGCGTATCTTTTGGCACCCTAGAACTGTGTAAATATGCTCTGTAGATAGCAAGATAAGATGTCTAAACATGCTCTAAAAAGGGTCAAATTAATATTTTTATTGGAGAAGTTAAATGATATAAGTAACCAATAAATAAATTGAGTCATATATTCTGATATTTAATATTATGCATTAGTGAGTGTCATTTAAATATTTTGACAAGTGGAATTCATCATTTTGAAAATATTTTTTTAATTAGTTCATAAGATGGATAGACGAAATTGCTTAAAATTTTGAAACCTATCATGTATTCTTATAGGAAATTCCTTAAAAAAAAACAAGTTTCGTTTTTTTTAACATAGAAAATTTCTTTAAAAAATTAAATTTTATTTTTAGTATAGACGAAATTTAATAAATTTTTGACATGTCTTAATATCCTAATTTCGTCTCTTTTGTAGATAAAATTTAATTAAAAAACATGAAAAAAAAAGTTTGTCCTTTATGTAGATGAAATTTACGATGATGTGATAAAAAAATCACAAATGAAAAATATTGTTTTACAAATTTATTATTTTAATAATTTATTTTCAAAAAAGTAAAAAAAAAAAAAACCCTCTCTTTCTTTGCATCAAATGATATATCACTTTTCTTTTATTCCTTTTTATCACTTTGAATATATGTATTTCATAGGTTAGAGGGTTCCATTTTTAGGCTGTAGAAAAAAGAGAGGTCACATTGATTTTGTATGTTTAGTAAAATTTCCTCTTAAGAATTCATTGAACATTCATTCTTCTTTTAATCTTGATAGTTGGGCCACTGATCAGAGATGAATTTAAGAGATTTTCACTTGGTTTGGAGCATGACTACATAAGCTTTTGAGACCATTTCTTTTGAAAAAAGGAGAATACTAAAAAATGAGTTCATTAACTAATGCACATTTTTAAACACCCAACAATGCCTTTAAATATCTCAAGCTACGTTGACAAAATGTAGCCATTGACTTGTGTGTGTATATAATAAATGTCCAACAATTTGTTTAAATGTACTTTGTTTGATTGAATTGATATAAATAGTTGTTCCCAAACTAATTGATATTCTTTTACAATTAAAAATATTTTGTATTTTAAATTTCTTTCTTTTTTTCAACTTATATATTTTAATTCCTTCCAACAAAGCACAAAGACCCCATTTTAAAACCTCAATTTGTACATAATTTTAAAATAGACAAGACAACATGGAAATACAAAAAGCTTCAAAATAGACATGACAACCTTAATTTGAGAAACATGTAAAGTGTATATTAACTCAATAAATAATTTCATGTAAATATTTAATATTTTGAGAAATAATTTATAAAAAAATATTAATCTCAACCCTTAAAATTGAGTTTAAAAAACTAAATGCAATAAAAATTATCCAAACTCAATTATTAACCAGTTGACCGGAAAAGTATGCTCCACGCGTTAACAGAAGAAGACATTAAAAAAGAAAGAGAACGCGTGGTTGTGGGGCCCACATGTAAGTCTCTTACCCAATTTCTTCTCAATGTTATCTCTATTTTCTCTTTATAGCAAACCACAGTAACATTATGTTATACACGTGTCAATCATTGATACACATTTTTAATTTTAATATTTTTAAATAATACAATATACTATTAAATAATTTAAATATTGAATGGATAGTTGCTTATGTCAATTACTATAAAACTCTTATATAGCATTTAATGATAAAACATTAATAAAGTAGTTGCTATTATACTAACATTACTAAAATTATTTTTATCCACTTATAATATGTTATCATATATGTTATTATTACTTGTATGAAATACTAATGTTATTATTTAGATTATAATTATATCTTAGTATAAATTTAGAGTATATGTTATAAATTAATTGTCTTATAAAGATAGAAAATTATAATTAGTGTTAAGTAAATATTTTTTGGGTCTAAGTTATATATTTTTTACATGAGACAATTTCATTCAAATTAAGAATATCTAAAATATAATAAGAAAAATTAAGTATATACTATTTCAACTAACCTCATTTGGTATGTCAAGTAAATATTTAAGAGGCTAAATACATGATTTGGTATTTTTTAAAGATTATAATACTTTATTTGTTAAAATATATAATAAATATAATATAATTAATTATAATTAATAAAATATAAATAACTATTGCATTAAAAAAATACATACATAAATGCATCAAAGATATAAATATTTAATAATTCTATTATTATTAATACATGTACGTAGTAACTATCCATTACAAAATAATAACTGTTATTATAATTAAAATAAAATATTGTTAAATTGACAATTATAAGATTTAAATTATAATTTTCATTTTTTATTAGTCTATTTGAAAATTTAAATTTCATACCAAATTAGACTCATTAATTTTATTTATACATAAATTTAGAAATATATTTAAAAGTATTTTATAAAATTAATTTAAACAAACTTTTAAATCATGTAATGCTTTTTTTAAAAACGAATCAAACGATAAAAATAAAAAACATAACTAATTTTTAAATCATATATTCAAAAAATAACTTAGATTCGCACCTAATAACATGTATTGTAACCTATTTTGAATCATGATAATTAAGACGAAAGAATGTATAAAATAAAATAAAAATTAAGTTAGTTGTGGATAAACAATATTTTTATCTTAAACAATAAGTGAATAAATCTTATTCTCTATTTTACATGTTTTTTTATGTTAGAGAAATTCAATGCTAATTTGTACGTTAATTATAATTTATAAAACTAAACAAAAGATATTGTTAATATCTATTTAATATGCTTTTCATTTTTATATTTTTTCGTTATAATAAAAGATTAATATCTTAATTCATAGTTTTTTTTATTCTCTAATTTTTTAAATATATTTTGATAATTTAATTTATAAAAAAGTTTTAAATAATTTTTTATAAAAAATTATTAAAAAAATATTGTTCGTTGTCTTTTTTCCCCATGTAAACTTAAAAAAAAGAGAGAGTATATTTTAATGAATTTATTAGTTGCTTTAGATCCCTTGCAATCATGTTACTCTCTCCAGCTAAAACATTGTCTATTGTTAAAAATGTAATTGATTAACTATAAAATATTATAATATTTTATAATCATTGGATGTAAATTTAAGGGTAGAGATTTTTCCTGGACCTCTATAGAGAATTCAAGTCCTTTTCTTTTCCTTTATTTTTTATTTAGGTAGATTTTTTTATTAGACATTAGAGTTGTAAGAAGAGACAGGAAAAGTTGACCTAAAAATACTAAAAGAATAAAAGTTTAGAAATTATAAATTTATTTTAGTTGTTGGTCAAAATTTGTGTATTATAATTAAAAGTTTAAATGAAATTGGGCTATTTTACTCTTATTGATTTAGGCCAAAATTTGTGTATTATAATTACCACGTTACCAACATTGTAATTTTAATAATTTATTAACATACATAATATTTGATTCTAAAATATGATAATAAAAATAAATAAGAATTGAGTTATTGCAATTAAAGATATATAATTTTTATTAAAAAAAAACTTATTTTAATTTTGTTGCATAAAGTGATTTTTAGTCTAGATTACATATATTATTTATTAAAAGCTCTATTCGAGTTGAATATAATTATTATTAACTATAAATTTTTTTGAGTATTTAATATAATTATATTTGCTAAAATTTAAATTTAAAATTATAGATTAAGCTAAAATTATCTCTTACTGGTTGATTTACATACTAAATATTGTTAGATGAAATAATTTGATGATATTTTTATCTTAATTTATTAAATAAATTTTAATATATTAAAAAATATTTTTAATATATATTTTATTTTTAATACATATTAAAATATTTTTCAAAAAATCATAAAGTGAACAAGTCAAGCTTCCATGGTCCTAGTTGTTTTGAACTACTTCTTTACCTAAATTAGCTTTTTCTCTTCTCTTTTGATTTCTCTTTTCTCTCAATACTCCTTCCTAGTTTTTCTTACACTTGAATAATTTCATTTTGTTTACCTTTCATTGTAATTTTTTTTTTATAAAATTAATAAATATTTCATATTTTTTATAATTTTAAATTTAATTACTAACATTTATCGAATAAAAGGTAACAAATAAATAAAACAGTAAACATAGTAAATAAAAAATAAATAAAAAGCTAAACAATGATTTTTTATAAACTGTAAAACATAATTTTTAAAAAAACCTTAAACTTTTAAAAAGGATATATATATTTTTATCTCTTTCATATTTGTGAATATTTTCAAAATTTTCCTGTTTCTCTTAAGATGTCTTCTCATGATGGAAGTGTCAAACTGTGAATGGCCTATTTTCGATTTGCAGACACACACACACACACACACACACACACACACACACCATTCACCAACCCACCTTTTAACGTAAGTGTTTGGTATCTTCGCTCTCACACACACACCCACGCCAACATTCCACCCACTCTCCCACCTACCAATTCTCTTTTCCCCTTCATTTCTCACCCACCAACCGTTATAGCCGCCAATGCTTCAAACTCTCTTCATTTTTCTTCTCTCTCTTAGCTCTTCTTATGCTTCCTCTCTCTCTCTCTCTGCCAAATTTCTTTAACTTTCTCTCTCTTCAATGGAAACCAAACTTCTAAGACCCACCTTCTCTATTCCTTCAAGACCCACTTCCTCTTTTCATCTCACACCTCATAGAACGTCACTTCCCTTCAACCCCAATTCCCATTTTCCCCAAAAAACCAATCTTTCTCTTCCTCCACACGCCACTTCCTTTCGGTGAGTCACATTTCTATTTTGGGCTTCTCTTTAATTTCTATTGCAACTTCAAAAAGTTTCGATTTTTGCTTGTTCTTCTATGTTTCTCCATTTGGGGGTGCATACAATTGCTACTGTGTAGAATCAATGTGTGTTTGGAAACACGTTTGAAAAACAAACCTTAATTCAAAAGCTGGAAAGTCGTATGCTAGTACACTTGCCCTGTATGCTCCATCTCTGTAACGTAAAAGCTACAGTATGCAGCGTTGAAGTAAACGTGGTTTCGTTGTTAATTAAACGTGAATTCAAACACGCTGTTAGTCACCGAGTTTACTAGGTCTCTGGGGTTCAACGGGAATTGGTGGATCCGTTCAAAGGAAAGTGACCATGTCACCATGCAGGCAATTGGGTTTCATGAATATTCTTGATTAGAAAAAAGTTAACAACTTGGGTCTGTTTTCTTCAGGGTCTTGCTAGAATAGTGTCTTGAGAATAAAGTTTGATACACTTTTCCAATTACTTAAAGGTGTTAAGAACTGAATTTTTTATGATATAGTAAGTGATTTTCTTTTCATTAAATACTTTGTGCTTTTATTCAATTTTTGTTTCTTTGTCAAATGTGGCTAGTGAGGTTACGATTCATTATGTGAATAGCATCTTCCGTGATGTTCTGTTTGCCAAATAGCACAATGGGAAATAAGGCAACATCATTTGATGGACAATGGAATCCTAACACCTCAATGTTTCTTCTTGTACTTATCTGATGTCTAACAGCCTTAGAGTTAGGTACCCAGACTTTATTGCTTCTATCAATTTTCACAGTCATGGCTTCAGCTATGCATGTACAGATTCCTATACTTGCATTGCATGTTTTCATCCTTAAATCAACAAATGCAAAATATTTGTTCATATGAATGACACCGTTGTTTTTGCTTTCTATGCTGTTCAATCAAAATTTAAAGTTGGTCTATTTCTTTTGTGCAGATCAGTGCCAATAAAGAAAAGGATTGATGGGAGTGAAAACCTGACCCTTGATCATATAAGACATTCTTTGATTCGTCAAGAGGACAGCATAATCTATAATCTCTTGGAGCGAGCACAATACTGTTACAATGAAGATACATATGACCCTGATGCCTTTTCTGTGGGTGGATTTCATGGCTCGTTGGTAGAATACATGGTCAGGGAAACTGAGATGCTTCATGCCAAGGTATGAACCTTTGCCTGAAAAGTAATGATCAAATGAAAGTTTTTGGTAAAATATTGTAGTGTGACTGAAAATGCGAAGTCCTGATTTATAGATGTCAGTTTTACTGACTCTGTTTTCATTACACTGAAGGCGGGAAGATACAAGAGCCCTGATGAGCATCCATTCTTTCCAGATGGCCTACCTGAACCAATGTTACCACCTTTGCAATTCCCTCAGGTAAAGAATATTCCTTAACAATTGTCAAGGGTGTTGTTCCTTCAAGATTTTGTTTTGCTGATGAATTTTTTATATTCGCATGAACTGAAATATTTCCTCTTGTCAATAGAATTGCAATGTGCAGAAATCTGATAAATTCCTTCTTTCCAATTCCAGCTGGCAGTATTTAGGAATTTACGAATGGTTCCATTCATAAACTCATAGTGACACCTGCTATGTTGACCTAAAGTCTTTGTAATGTGTAAAATGGTAACTTTAACGAAAAAGTCCCTCTAATGTAGGATGAGTGTAAGAGATGTGCCTTTGATTAATTGAAATGATAGTTTTCTCTTTTCAACTAAAGTGAAATTAAAACAATGTTGTTACATTAAAAGGAAAAAATGGATACCAAGTAGGGAAATGCTCCGTTTATGATTGCATAGGCTATAAGATCATTTCAACCCAAAGCACTTGCATAAAGTAACACTTGCACTAAGGCCAAGTGTGAGAGGAAAATCCATCTGCTTGTCAATTGAAAAATTACAGATTAACTCTCTCTCTCTATCTGCATGTGTGCTCATGTTTAATGGTTGTGTTGCTAAATTTTTCATGTGTTAATTGCTTATTCACTGAATTTCTATGTAATGCATAAATAGATAGTTGTATCAATTGCTTCTTCACTGAACTTCTGTGTAATGTGTGAATAGGTTTTGCATCCTATTGCTGATTCAATTAATATAAATGATAAAGTATGGGGTGTATACTTCAGAGTTCTGATACCACAATTAGTCAAGGAAGGAGATGATGGTAATTGTGGATCCACTGCTGTTTGTGATGTTATGTGCTTGCAGGTACACATTATTTGTTTCCTTTTAGTTATATTCATTTCTAAGTTGCAATGATGACCAGGGATAGTAGCACCTTGAATTTTCAATTATTTAATTTACTTCATACCAAGGGATCTCAAAGCATATAGTATTATTATTTGTTATATATGAATATATCTATACCCTCATTTCATATCCCTTTTTTTCCCTCTTTTGCATGTAAATTTTTACATGGGCAATGTCAAGACCAATTGATTTGATATTTCTGAAACTGCAGCCAAACAATATTTCATTTAGATGAAAAATAAACAACAGTTGTTCCTTGTTAAAACATGATTATCTTAGTGGATCTTTTCTCTATGAGAGATTAAGATCTGTATTATGTGGTGACTCCCAATATCTTTCTCTCTCTTTCCCTGTTCAATAACAGCTCCCCAATCTAAGGAAACTGTTAGTAGGTGTGCTTAGCAGCCAATTTACTCTTGCTTTGGTTCATCTCATGCTTTCCAATATGCACAAGCCTTGTGCAGATATCTGAACTGAAGTGATTGCTTTCCGCAGAAAATCAGTGATTCTATTCTGCCCCCATTAAAAAAAAAGATTGGTGATAGAAAACTGATATCAACACAAGCCTATATGATCTTTTATGCTTCGATATTGCCAATTATAAATTTTTTGAACTAGGCTTGATATAAAATATTGCAACTTGCAAGTTTCCTCGGTCAACATTTGTCATTCTTTATTTTGAAAAGTTCAGCAACTTCTCTCCCTCTAAGTTGAGATTCTGATAGCAAATTCTGGCTCTTACATTGCTGGAAACTTCTGTTTTGTTGTGACTGCAGGCCCTCTCAAAGAGAATCCATTATGGAAAATTTGTAGCTGAGGCAAAATTTCAAGCTTCTCCAGATGCATATAAACCTTCCATTATAGCACAGGTACAAATACCTATTAGAGGGCGAGACATAGATGCAATTCTTGTTAAATTGTTCAACTTTCTAGGAATGTCAATATTATCAATGTTAAATCTGCTTTTTGAAATTTGAATTGCAAACATGTTAATGAAAGTGGTAATGAACTAATCATACTAACTTTTATCCATAAATTGTTCAGTCATATATAAATCTATTTATTTACTGGTAATTGGTACTAATTTGATGTACATTCATACTAGTGTGATAAGCTTGCAACCATTTTACATCAAAGGGACACATTCAGGGTCTCATTTTCATTTTTCTGCAAGCTGGATTTTTAACAGGATCAACTTTATCTTGTTGTGGTGACTTTTCAGGACAGGGATAAGTTGATGGAACTGTTAACATATCCTGAAGTTGAAGAGGCAATTAAGAGGAGAGTTGACATAAAGGCCAAGACTTTTGGGCAAGAAGTGGTTATAAATATGAAGGAACAGCGAACCGAGCCGGTGTACAAAATAAATCCAAGCTTGGTTGCTGATCTATATGGTGAATGGATCATGCCATTGACAAAGGAAGTTCAAGTTGCATATTTGTTGAGAAGGCTGGACTGAACATAACACGTACGTTTTCAATTACAATGTCCATATGGTACTTATTTTCCATGTTATGATTCATGCAATGGAAAGTCTCTGATGTACAAAATGATTCACTTTCTGTGACTCATGATTATAAATTCTAGCTTTTGTAATTAACATATTAGGAAGTTGTGTTCTTATGTACTGATTCATGGTGTCTTTTTTATTTTTATCTTGTGTTGATTTCATTTGATTTCATTTCATTGTAAACTTGAATATTTTTATTATAATTGTAAAAGGAAGTGAACATTGGAATGTTAGATGCTTTAAGTTTCAATAATTTTCTGGATGAGAGATGGTAATATAAAAATGACTATGCATTTTTGGTGGTTTTGAACTATACTCAACGATTTTTATTCATACACTACACAAATATGGGGTCATCAAGTCCGGATAGGGTAAAATGGTCCACCTAACAGGGTGGACTTTTTGCAAGAAAAATTCTTAAATAGGTATTGCTTTTATATATATATATATATATATATATATATATACACACATACACACACAATTTATTTGTTGACATGTGCTATGGTATTCTATAGAAATTCTAGTTTTTGAACTCTTGTTCATTAAAAATAAAAAATGTTATTTTTATCATTTTCAAGGACGCTTTTAAGATTGTGATTGGCCCAAGTATTATTTTAAGACTTTCTTTTGCTTGCATTTGTGTGTATCTCAAGTGCAGTATTGTTGATTCTCCTTGTCAAAGAATGATACTCTTGCTCTACTAAGGAAGCAAAGGACAACCTCCTTCATGATTGTTGCCAAGCACTATCTAAAATCATAATTATACAATTCAAGTGGTTCACCAACTCAAATCAAAATAGCAACTAAAAGAGACAGGTAACTTAACTCGGTTTAAAGGGTTTGATACCCTTTAATTTTGGACGCCCCTAATATAGTAGCATAAGCAATATCACCTTGTCCCATGCACAGCAATAATGATACCCACCACATGGACATGAAAACATGATAAAGTAAGAGACAAAGGACACATCTCCCAGAGAAATAGGATTTTGGGCAAAAAAAATTTAATACACATTATTTTATTTTTCAATTAAGATTTACACAATTTATTTCTGATGTCAAGATTTATTTAATAACTCTCTCACTAACCATAAGAATCAAATAATAGTTTAAAAAAAAATACAAACTTGTACCATTTTCAAAATTTTGAAAGATCCAAATTATGTATACGACAAAATTAAGATGTAGTTCCTTAAATGTTGTTGTTTACTGATAAAAATTAAAGTTTTATCTCAGTAGTCTGCAATAACATTATTTATGTATATACCACACATAGTTTGTGTAAGTATTTTTATAAAATTAAAATGATGGCTTATTCAAACAGGTTTCTATGTGGAGTACAGCAAAATCTAAACAGATTGAGTAAGTGATCTTCACAATTGTCCCACCAGCTCTGTATTAAAATTTAGAAATAGGTAAGAGACAGTGAAGTTTTGCATGTCTTGTTTAATGTACTTGTTCCATTATCGTGATTTTAGGAAAGCTAGGACCACACTAATTGCTAAAGGGGAAAAGGGAATTTTTGAGAGCATGGTTTAGTCCTTTTTTTCATATCAACCAGCACATGGATACGGTCAAAGCATCAACCAACACGGAAAGAAAATAACAAATTGAAGATAATATATATTTTGATCTACCTGTCAAATTAATATATGTTTATCCTCTAATTAATAACAGTTTTGGCTAATCATTTCTCAAAGAACATTGGTTAAGCATATAAAAGTAAATAAATCTTCTTTTACAAAATGAAACATTTGTCAGACATATAACAGTTATTTAATATATACTTTTTGAAGTAACTAAATAAATTTAGTAGGATGTATTTAATATTCTTTAACTAATGTCTTTAAGATAATAACTAACAAAACTGTATGAATAAAACAATATATTCTTTTTAATTACAATAGCCTGATTTTCATTTTTAATTAATTTTCTTTCTTTCTTTTTTTGTGCTTATCAAAAGAATGGTTTTTTTTTTTTTAAATAAACTTATGCTGATATATGGAATTCGGTTCCATCAAAGATTGTTGGTTGGATTGCATGATTGATTACAAGAGAATGGTTTTTCCATTTCTTATAAACATTAAAAAAAATTTTCACTCACATTACTCACATTCACTAGGAATTACAAACACTTACTGCTAATTGTGATGAGTCAATTACCTATCATCCACATGAAATTATAGTCAGTAGAGATGCAAGAAGCTAAATTTTGGACTAGTTTTCTTCCTTTAAAGTGAATATTGTATTTTTTTTAATGATAAAACACACGTTTTAATATACTTTTTCCTTTAGCTTGATCAAAAATCAATTTTATTCTATTTTAAAATAATCAGCGTCAAAATATAATTACAATGAAGGATAATTCTGGATATAATATTTGTTGAATACTTAAAAAAAGAAATCCGCAAATTGTATGCGTATGAGTTCAAGGACTGTAATACTCGCTTATTTATGGATTTGTATACCGTCTATAATAATAATAATAACAAAAAAATTAAATTTGTAATAAGTTTGTACTGTACTTATAATTTTGGTGTTTTTTGTAATTTTGAACTATATTTGATGCATTTGTAAACAACAAAGTATAAAAAATAAATTTTAGTTAATTAAACCATGAATAATGGAGATAAACATAGAAATTTAAGTACCTAATTAGCATGAAGTCGAAGATTAAAGTTATTACCTAAAAAATATAAAGATAAATACAAATAATTTTTTACAACATGAATATAAAAATAAATACTACACTACTCTCTATCCATTGTTATCAATAATTACATCACATTTTCATATAGGAATTTCTGAAGTATGTATTGGTCGAATTAATCTGTAATGTTGTATTTTCAATTGTTAGCACACAAGGAAGTGCAAAGCATGATCTTTGGTTCACTGTACGAGTTAAATTTAAGGATCTACTTTAATGCTATTGTTATTTGTTTATTTTACACTTTCGAATGGTATGTCTCGAGTCGAGTCAAATCAATTTATTTCTTAATTATCAAAATTCTCTCTTTTGCATTAAAAGGTGCATGTTATGATGTCAAAAGGGAAAAAGTACATTTTTTAAGTATATTTTTCAAGAAATAAACCAAAAAGAAACAAAAACAGTATTAATAGTATATGTATACTTACTAGCTTGATTTACTCAAAGCAAAAACTAAAAGGGTATTTAATATATCAAGAACTAAAAAGTATATCATAAATGTTATTTTGTTGATGACATTTTTTGTCATGTTGACATAGACCTGGTGAGTTGAAAAAAAATGGCAACTTAAAATTGAAGACAATGAACAAGTAGTTTTAGAAGAAATTTAGTTAGTACCGGTTCTTAATGTGGTACGTTGTTTTTGTGTGGTTTTATTTAATAAGTTGTAATAAAGGAGTTGATAGAATTATTTTTTAGACACTCACATTTTGTATTTCTCCTTTATAGGAATGATTGAGGGCAAAAAAAATAAAATAGTTTTTAAGTCATCTTATTATTTTATTTTACTAATTCTATTAGCTTTTCAAATAAAATGAATTTATAGATCAAAATAATAAAATAATTTAATAACAAAATTAAACAATAATAATTTTTAATTCAATAATACCAAATAAGAAGAATCACAACTTTCTAAACTCTTTCTTTTCTCACTCCAAGATATAAAATAAACCCTTAAGATTCAATAGCTGATTTTTTTTATGCTATAAATAATTAAAAATAATTTTTGTTAAAATAATTTTAACTCTTTTTAAAAATAACATAACTCAGAAAGTGTACAAATTTCCCTACGTGTATTATGATAAAAAATCAACGGTAGATCTAGAAAGCAACAACCGTTGAAATTAAATAAGCGAAGACAACTTTCACAACACACACTATTAAAAAATCCAAAAAAGAACCAAAAGGTTCCTTAAAAGGCCAAAAAAACAGAACATTGTAGAGAGCAGAGACAGAGTGTTCCAGAGTTTGTTGAACTGTGAAGAAGGTAACTGTGCAAAGCAGTGATGGAGGGGATGAAGAGGGTGCTATCACCACCCATGTTGCTTCTCTTTCTTGGCTTCATTGTGCTTATCATGTTGCCACAAACCTCCGCTACAAGGTGGACTGTTGGAGGCAGCAATTTTTGGAACACCAATTTTAACTACACTACTTGGGTTAAAGACAAACATTTCTACATTGGTGATTGGCTTTGTAAGCTCTCTCTCTCTGCATGAATGTAAAGTTTGAATATTTGCTTAGATGGCAGTTGTTTCTGTTTCTTTTCTATGAGCTGGATCTGAACTAGTTCAAGCATAAGCTAAGTTAAAATTGTTAGCTTTTTGTGGTTTTATTTAATTTTCTAGCTTCTGAATTAAAGGGGTATGATTTTAGATCCTTTAAATAATCCATGAGCTTTTCGTTAAATTCATGTTAACTCAATAAGAAAAGGAAAAGGAGTTGGTTAATGCAGTAGAAGATACGTGGATTTGTATTGTTATGTGTTTCTATGTAACATGTAAATTAAATGTAAAAATTGAATTTTGAGGGTACCCCATTGGGATTTCTCTTCCCCCACTCTCACCCATTTCCTTTTGATCGCTTAATTAGCATTTTTTGTAAAGAGGAAGTGTAAATAAGAAATAGGGTTTGGATCTTTTTATGGTTTTGTTGTCTTGTGCTGCATTATCAGATCCAGAGCATGTGAGTTTTGGTTATCTTTACTTTGTTGCATGCTTATGTGAAACTGTAAGTTAATTTGTGTTTGTCATTGTCTTTTGTTCTTGCACCTTCTTTCCCTAAGTTATGGTGAATTGTCACCCCAGAAAAAATAAGACTATCAATATGTAAACAAAATCAGGAATATCAATCAAGTTTTTGAAATGTGAAACAAGTATAGAGAATTTCAGATCTTGTTTAACTCTTGAACAATTTTATCTATTCTAGGATGCATTCTGCTATCCGTAAATTAAAGCTAGCTGCTCAAGTTTATGAGCTCACTAATTCACCTAAAGTTAATTAAAAAGTTAAACTGAATATTCCCACCAACATCTTAGCAAAAGTAAGGTAAAGTAAAATCAAAAGAATGCTTTTCCCCTCAATTTATGGCTTAATTTGCTAATGAAATGCAAACATACTGAATGCAGATTTTCATTATTTTGTCTTTCTTACAAGTTGTTTAGTGTAATATTGATTTGTCATCACTTATTACTTTTATCACACTAATTTTGATTATTATATCTAATAGTAGCACACAAACCTGTGTAACCGTGTGCTAATTTGGAGTTGCATAGTTATTATTTTCATGCTAACTAGGTTAGTTTGCAGATTTTGTGTACGATAGGAACCAAATGAATGTGCTTGAAGTGAACAAGACAGATTATGAAAGTTGTAACTCTGATCATCCACTCCACAATTGGACTACTGGAGCTGGAAGAGATGTGGTTCCCCTGAATGTAACACGCGATTACTATTTCATCAGTGGCAAAGGGTTCTGCTTTGGTGGCATGAAGATAGCTGTTCATGTTGAAAAGATACCACCACCACCAAAAGCTTCTCCTATAAAAGCTGGAGCACCAACCCTTTCCTCTAGAGGTCACATTCTTCTCATGCCTGTTGTTTTTGCCATTGGAGCAGCATGGGATGCATTCATTCATTTCTGGTGATGATACTCCACACCACCATTGAACAATACCAAATGGTTAAGTGTTCATTTTTTAGTTTTTTCAAAGGCAATTGTTGTTTGCATGGTGACATTAGTTGTTGATCTCAAATGATCTCAAATGGGTCAAAGGGTGATTTTCATGTTAGGTAGTGTTTGTGTTTGATTTTCAAAATGTGTTGTATTTCTGTGTTAATGATCAGAAATATGTCACAAACTAGTTTAATTTAATTTAATTTAATTTATTGGAGAATTCAAATGCGGCAATTACGGGAATGTGGTAATATGCTTTTGGACTAGCAGGACCTTGTCCATGTGCATGTACCATGGTTGCATTTTACTTTCCATTAATTTTTCTGTTTCTTAATCCCGAGGGCCCTTTTTTTGTGTTTTGTTTTTAATATTTTAATAGCTTGTATTTGACTTTGTTTCAATTTCTAAAAAATTCTATTTAGGACTCTAAATCATCGCTGGAAGAGATACCGTAATGGGCGTTCGTGTATAAAAACACACAGGAACTTATATTATATTCTAAAAGTATAGGAATTTATGAATTAATTAAGCATCTGAATTATATTTTGTAATGAAATATGTTTCGGTTTATTAAACATAACGTTGCAGCTAGTATTAATGTCACAAATTGTATCATAATCTATGTCTATTACCGATTTATAATTGAATTGATCACTGTTGGTTTTTGTCGAGAAGGAAATTTGCACCGGAAGTTGACGTGTTAGGGTTTGGGCATCATATAATTTGGGCCTGTTTTAATTATTCATTTCATGTGGCCCATAGAACAATATGGAAATCAACTGGGAAAAAACTACAAATTTATCAGAGACTGGTTTCGATCCAGTGACCTGTGGGTTATGGGCCCACCACGCTTCCGCTGCGCCACTCTGATGGTTTGACTAATGTCTTTAGAAATTCTTTAAAATAATTCAAAAACGCTTTTTTTTTTTTTTTCACTTTAATAAAATGAGAAGCCTTGTGATGAATATAATTGGAACAATATATATTTGTAATTTGCGAGAGGCCTCTGCTACTCTGGACGGAATGAGGCAACCGGGGTTGGAGCACCTATTTTAACTTCATGGGCTAAATGGCAAGCATTCCTAGATATATTATTCTCACAACAAATTCTTACCATAGTATATCTCAATTTCTTTCAATTATATGACCCATGTTATCTTACGCTTCTTTCCTCCCTTTTCATCTCTTATTTGTAAAAGAAATTGTACAAAGTTAATGAGGCAACATGGTTCAGTAAGCCCACTCGCTCTCTTTTCACCTCCCTTTCTGGCATGTTTAAAAGCTCATCTCAACTTCTAGTTAAGATACGCTTCTTCTCTCTCTATTTGTCAGCAGCAACGGTTACTGCTATGGTGGCCTGAAGCTATAATTGTCGTGTTGAAAACCCATCATCTCCACCTGTAGCTACTCCAATAAAAGATGGAGCAGCAACTCTCCTCGAGACTAAATTTTTTGGTCTCCGACATTGGCGCTGCATGTGATGCATTCATTCATATGGTAACTGGGAATTACATTTCAGACGACATCCTGAATCAATCTCAAAAAGATCACCTTTCACGAAGGCAATTGTTGCATTCTTGGTGACAGTCGTTGACCTCAAAATAAATGGGTTATGGAAGATGATTCACGACAGAAAGTGCCTAGTGTTTGATTATTCTTGTCTATATATTTATTAGTTTAGTCACAGTCAATTGTTGCTTTCTTGGGGATGTAGTTGTTATTTGTTAACCCCAAAAATGGATCATGTGCCATGTTTCATTCATGTTAGGCAGTGCCAATTGTTATTATTTTAAATATTGATTCAACAGAATAACTAGAGAGAACGATGGCTCGTGTTAAATGTTATTTTCACGGTTCAACTGGTTTAGCTGGTAGTCAAAGAGAATGAACTCATAATACATAATAAAATAAATAAGATAAATGAAGGCCTAAAGTGATTCCTAAAGATTTAAAAGTACTTCACGATGTGGCTAAATGAAGCCCAGTTGTATTGCAGCAGAACTGTCAACTCATAAAAGTGGGTTTTGAACTTCTGATGTACTTGGAAGTTAACTCCAAGCAAATTATTACAGATGAGATTCAAAAAATACTTATCTATCTTTCCAGAAGATTCAGTTTTTTTTCAAAGAAATTTCAACAACACTTTACAAATCTTTCTACACACTACTATAGAATTGGGGCAAAATAAATAAGGAATGAAAACCATTAGGACTCGCATCAATTAATGAACCCCACATGAAGTACACCAAATAAAAAGAATGTTAGTGTCACTAGTGTTTCTCTTTTACCTTTACTACAGATTGACCTGTATATGCAAAGATCTAACCTTACTAATTGCTCCAAAATCTAAATTACTCTAGATAGCAGTTTGTTTCAATTTCGCATTATCATTCTGACTTGAAAAAAACAACACTTCAATAACCTAATTGCTTCTTTACCTTCATCTGTCTTGCACATCAGGGTAACTAAGACAACTTTGTAGCCTTATATCTGTCACATTACTCAACTATATCATTATCATACATATTAGATGCAATGACAACGTCCTTACCATACATACAAGAAACTATCATGATATTCTAGTAAAAATCTTATCCCAGCAGTAGTTATAAACATCAATCAAGATGACATTTTCTCAACTGAATTTCTAAGCTTATAAAAAAAAGAACTTACCACATGACTAGAAGACTGTTGGGGTTTAACCAGAACCAGGGTCAAGAACAGGAAGCCTGCAATGCAAGCTGATTGATTTATCAGTCTGGCGAGACCCCGGAATGAAGAACTGAAATATCACAGTCAGGCAACTGCCCTGCGGAGGAATCCCATAGAAAGCACAATCTGGTTTGGCCAAGTGACACTGGAGGCTCTTGGCAAAATGCTTCACACTAACCTGCACAGATTGCGCATCCCCTCTCGAAATGGACCTTGAGGATCGCGTCTGAGCACTGAGATTTTGATCTTCAGCAGGAGCATTTGCTCGATCTCCAATCACCAACAGGTTCCTAAATTCAGCACCCAGGCTGATCAGTGTGGTTGAAACCTGCACACTCAAATCCCCATACTTATTTATGAACACATTCACCACATCGCCCACCTGCTTCATCCGATCGACAAAATTTAGCAATTGGTTCAAATCAGGCACCTGCATTGGAAGCGAACATTATAGAGTGAAAAAGGTCAAGTTTCCATACTCTCAGTTATGCTCTTTATACAACAGAACATATCCGAAAGTAACTGACTGTAATAACATGAACAAACTAGTAAGTAATTGCTGAATCAACATAATTGAATTCTATTACTCTAACAATCTTAATCAAACCCAAAAATAACTGAATAGGTAAAATAACTCCCCCAGTTAATTTCTAACTAAATTGGAACAGTTACAGGGAAATAGTAAGGATAGATTTTTATAAATTTTTCATATTAGACAGGACTAAATTTTCTCATTTAATTTTAGTTTCCTTTAAAATTAAGAAAGTTAGATGTAGACAAACTTTTAAACTAATTGGATAAAATTAACATTAATTCATTAGTTTTATTTGGCCAATTTAGAGTGATACATTAGTCCCTAAAATTATGAGTATAAGCAAATTTAGCATTTAAAATTACAAACGCATCATTCTAGTCACTGAAATTTTTAAATGACAGTCTTTCTAGCTAGTTTCAAAAGTTACAAAACGACAATGATTTTAATCCTAAAAATTATAATAATAACTACTAAAACGACTTATATTTAATAATTTTAGTAACTAAATTAATATTTTTACAATTTTCAAAACTAAACTCACTAATGCTTAGAATTTCAGAAAACTAATTTAATATATTATTCATCATCCTAAATATATAATAGTAAATTCCTTATTTCTCCTTCCTTTTCTCTCTTTTTTCTCCTTTTACCTAAATTCAATTCCCTCTCCTCTTTTCTCTTCCTCTAAAGTCAAACAGTATAATCAGGGAAGTACCTGAACGAGTGTTTGAGGAAGATCTTGAGCCATATCAAGAGCACTTTGAAGCTCGAGAACCTGAGCTCGCGACAACGGCTTAGAGATAGGGATATCTTGAATAACAGCGGATTTATATCCACGCGTTTCGAAGGTCAGAAATGGCATTGGCTGCGTGCAATTAGGTGGAAGCTTTTTGACGAGCTTAATCTGTAGTTTGTTGGGAGACGAAGCGGCAGCGGCGTATTCGGAGGAGACGGCGACGGCGCTACGGAGTGCGCGGAGGAGGAGGGAGAGGTCGATGGCGAAGGCGATACGGTCGTCGTTTTGGCTTGAGATGCGGTAGTCGCTGAAGAGCACTTGCTTGCGGAACTGCGCGATGGATTGAATGCCATCGCCGTTGAGAAGATTGTGAAGGAAGATTGCGTGGTCCTTTGTGAGATAAAGGTGACACACTTTTCCCGTTTTCTCGAGCGCTGGGATGAACCTCTTCTCCAATAGGTTCACTCCGTTGTCCGTTACCAATGCCTTGAACTTCATCGCTCAGAGGAATTGATGTTTCTGATTCGTTTGATGAGAGAGAGAGAGAGAGAGATTTTGCCTCTTTCTTTGCCTCCTGTTAGAGGGAAACTCAAATCATTTGCTGATTTTCTTGTTCCGTTTCCCTCCTCTTTCCGTTGCATAGACTTCATTGGACAAAAGCAAATATATATATATATATATATATATATTCATTTTTATGCTAATTGTATGTTAAATTTTAAATAAATTATATATTAGTAAATATTTAATTTTATAAATAATATTTATTTATATTTTAAAATATTTTTTATATTAAAATATAGTTGTTTAATGAATTAATAATTATTTTTCATTTAAAAAATTTAATTACAAATTAGATATCATGAATAATATGTGGAGTATGTTGTGATCTATCGGTAGTACCAAGACTAAAAAAATATATAGAGAGCATAATTAAATTTTTTAAATATAAAAGATTTAAAGTATTTAAATGAAAATTTGAGAAAAAATTAAGTAATTTAGAAAAATTTTGGTTAAAAAATTAATTTTTTTTATGAATCTTAAATTAGAAATGTTAAATTTTGTATGTATACTTAAAAAAAAAAAGAATTAACATTTTTATACATATATTTTTAAATTAAATTATCTAAGAAAATGATATGATTCATCTCTAATAATAGGAGTTGAATTGTGAAGTTTTGTATTTATTTAAGTGAATTTTAAGAGAATATGAAACTTACAAAAAAATTAAGTGATGTGATAAGAGTTAAATTGTTAAGTTTTGTATTTGCATAAGCGAATACTAAAAAAATATGAAAATTAAACAAAAAATTTAATTAAAATTCACTTAAGCAAATAAATAGATTACTTTGTTAGAATAAAAAATTATTTATTCTAAAAATGTGTGTTTTTTGGGTTGAAAATAAATAATCCATAAGTCATTGAATGGAGAGAACATAAGAGCACATTTGAATCATTGTGATCAAATCAAGCTCCTCACCCATGGAGTTTTCTAACACATGCATCAATTATTCTCTATGAAGCACTGACTCTGGACATCAGACACAATACGACGTGACATGGATACTGGAACACGGCTAATGTCTAAAATATAAAACATTGTGACATCGCTTATATATAAATATATAAAAAAATTAAATATAATTATCATGAAAAATTTATATTGAAATACAATAAAAATCAGAAAAATGAAGCAGCGGAACATGAATATAAACTTGGGAACAGAAATAGAAAAAGAAAAGAAAATAGAAACAGAAATACTGCATAGAAATAAAAAAAAAATAAACAAAGATGAATAAAAAAAAAACTTTATTAGTAAAAACGACAAAAATTAATATTGTTTGGAGAAAAAATGATGAGGAGTGATGAAAAAACTTAAACGGCAAGTCGAGGATAAGAAGAATGTGCAAAGAAACCCAACACAAAAAATAGAAAGCAAACATGTAGAAGAAGGAATAAGAAGAAAGGAGAGAGTTTTAAAGATTTTTTAACATTTTTAACTTTTAACTTTTTTTTTATTTTGAATTTTTTTTGAAGCGAGCTACTCTGAAACCATGTCTTCCATCCGCAACTATGTCTGTGCCGTATCTGCACGATGTCGCAGTCAAAAAAAGTATTTTAATTTTTAGACACTTGTAAAAAAGTGTCAAAGACGTGTTCGAAAGTGTCCAGGAGTGTCGGTATCGTATCCGTGTCTGACACCCCGACTCTTCTTCCTCTTGCATAGTAGGTGCTTCACAGATTAGGTGGATTCTAATATCCTCCCTTCTTTTGTAAAAAGTGTATTTTTTTGGAAAGCATAACTTTTGCATAAGTGATTAATAATTGAAAGTGAGCCGTTAATTGTTGCATTTTAAAATTAGATGGCTAAGATTAAATATTGAAAAGGTAAACAAATGTGGATATGAATGAATAGTGAGCAGAATGAAGAGGGTTAATAACGTAAATGTGACAAGTTGTGTACATAAAATTTGATTAACATGATACGCCCTATACAGCCGATGTAGATATGGTTAACACGACACAGTAAGGAAGTAATTGTCAATAAGAGACATGACAACAGACATATAAATAGAACAGTTAGATAGCAGGAAGAAAAGAGACAATGGACATTAGAATAAAAATACGTGGCCTGCTTGAACTGATAGCTATTGCGAATCAAGTTTGAGAAAAGATAGTGCCTTGTTCACTCAGAGTTCTTTCTGAAACAAATGAGAATGGAAAGAAGCAAAAACCGCACCAATCAGAGCTTCTTCACCAAGACGTGTGAATAGCGCTTTGAGTAGCCTATATGAAGTAGCGAAATCGGTCTTACTTATAATCGGGAATCAGAACAGGCAACTATGAGACAACTTTCCCATTGTCCAGAGCAAGTTATTGCGTACCTGAGAATGATTTAAACACAGCGGGAGTAGACGGAAAAATCTATAAGGAAGCCATTGAAATATGGGTAAAGTAGAAGGTGGTTGGATAATGACATCTGTTATGCCATTATTTCAAATTTGAAAATGGGTTGTCACTTCTACATCGGTTGAATTGGATGACCGATGCAATATTCCTTATCTATATGGGTTTTGTCATATAACAGATGTAAAAAGTGACACATCAAGCCAACACAAGTGTTGTGACTTCTACATCGGTTGAATTGGATGATCGATGCAATATTCCTTCTATATGGGTTCTGTCATATAACAGATGTAAAAAGTGGCCACATCAGCCAACACAAATGGTTGCCTGATGACATCAGACTTGCCAGAACACCGATGCAAAAGGAGTCCTTCACGTATATCTACATGGGTTCTCTCATATAACTGATGCAAATACAGTCCATCAATATAATCTAAAACGTAGTTACCACAAAACTGATGCAAATTGATTACGATCGTCACCTAATGATATTAGTTTTATAACAACAGATGCAAATCTCACTCCTATTTCTTTCACGTATATATTCTACCCTTTCATTTTCACAACAAAAATGGTAAACAGATTCTTTATATCACACTAATAAATATCGATTTTTCTATATGTGGGTTATTGCACAAACTGATGTTCATGTTTAACTTTCTGTAATATTGCCTACAATTTCAAATTGGATTATTTTATAACTTCCATCATTCCATCTACAATCTGTCTCTTAAAGGTTGATATAGCAGAGAATGTGTCTGCGTTTCACCACAAACACCATCAAATATTATATATGTCTTTCACAGATGAAGGATAAAAGTGTAACTATAATAAAACATATCACTGTTAAATGTAAGCCTGAAGAGATAATTCTGATACAGTTTCACGTTTACCAGAAAATCAAATGGTACATAATGCGACCTAGTTCCACCCCAGTTCCATAATTATGTTGCGATGCGAAAAATTAAAATAACAACATGAGCAAGAAGAAGAAGACGTACAAAACAAGAAGAAAGAATAAAAGTATAAAATTACCAATGTATCCTTTCAGAAATCTAACTTGAATAATCGGTATCTTGTAATTCATTCTTAACCATTCGATTAAAATCAACGGTCCATAATACATTATAACTTTTGCAAAAGATTTCTTTTCTTTACTTTTTACAAAAGAGGGAGGATATTAGAAGCCGCCCATAGATTATTCTTCTTTCAAAATCTTGATGCACACTCTTTCATTCTCTATAAGCAAAGTACATACCCACTATTATCCCTTTGTGAGAAGATTGGAAAGGATCTGCGATAGTCGCATGCATATGACAAAGGAGCACTTCTCATAAAAGTCACTTGTGATTATCAACTTAATTTGGAAATTTTGGGTGATTGTCAATTTGTGCGAAAAATAAATAATATATTCTAACACAAACTACTCTTTCTATATCAAAGTCAAGACAAATGAATTGTTACAAATACATCTTGGTACCTTTAACACATAACAACTTTATGCATAGCCTTGTAATGACACTAATGCACACTTACATTCAACAACCAATAACAAATATATTAAACAACAACTTATTCAAACCTATATAAAAAGGAATTTTCTTGTTAACTTGAGCGTCACAATGTTTCTTGAACAAACACCCGCCATTGGAGCACCTACGAGAGCATCAAATACTTTCAATCACCTTAAACAATTGTCCATACCAGAGGAGCTTCCACTTCGGCCATCCCGTATAGAACACATATATTAGATATTTTTTATACACACTACGTATAAGTTTGAAAGACTTATACTAAATCTTAAATATACAAATCAAATAATCAAACTATTAAAAATTTATCTTGTTTAACTAAAATAATAAAATACAAGTGCGTATTAATTACTAATGTAAATAAATCATTAATTATCATATATAGTAAAAAATATTTTTTTAAAGAAGTGTTAATATTTTAAAAATATATTCAAACTAAATACAATATTAGAATATTCTCATAAATTATTTTATAGCATTTTAAATTTTTTTTTAACATATATCAAATGCAATTTTAACATTTTAAAAAATTTAGTTCCCTGAAAAAAATGATTTTGGAAACTAAAAATGTTTTCATACATTAAACACATCCTAAAGTAATTGAAGAGTAACATGAGATTTTTTAACAAAATAAAAATGTTATTTTACAATAGAAATAAAAGAAAGTGCAATAAAACGAGACTCAAATAAATAAGTTAAATATATATATATATATATATATATATATTTACATTATTTATAAAAAAATTAAATCTTATATTTCTTTAGTCCCATGAAAAGTTATAAGAATATATAAAATATAAATATATAATAATATTTCTAAATTTTTTTTTCTCTCTCTCCCTCTTCAAGGACAGTTAATTTATTTTCTCGCTTTACTACTTTGAAACTTTTGGTAGTTGTTTGTTTTAAGTTGTTGAATTAATTATATTTTTAATACATTTAGCTGCTCAAAATTTACAAAGTAATCAAGTTTTTTGAAATTGAGAAAAACTAGTTTCTATATATATATATATATATATATATATATATTTATTTATATATTTAAAATTCTCAAATTTTATTTTGTATTAAAACTTACTCATATAGGATAAATAAATGGTTTCATGCTATAATAATATTTAAAATTTTGTGATAATTTTATATTAAAAATTAATTATAATACACCAATACTAAGAATTTTCTTTGACATTATCTTCTTATCATAAATTTTTATCTAATTATAAATTGTTAATTTTTATAATAGTTACTTCAAAAATTGTAAAACGATTGCTAAATAATCATTAATTTAATTTTTTTTATAATAATAGTTCCCTAAAATTAAACTTAAAAAATTAATTTTACTATATTAATAAATTGATAATTTTTAAACCATCATTTAATTATTGATTATTATATCATTAAAATTTATTAACTTTAATTTTTTAATAATCCTTATAAAAGTCATCTCTACTATTCTACATTGACTTCTAATTGAATTATTCCTTTTTATAGTTATCATTAATTTTTTCTAATTAAAATAAGTAAATTTTTATTTTAAATTTACCAATTATTAATTTTTCATATTTTTATTTATTACAATATTTATATTAATAAATTATTCACCCATTATTATATAGGTAAAGATATTCATTCATTTAATGTATGAGTCAATAATTTGACCATTTATTATTATAAGTATTTTTGAAATATAGTGTAAATTTATGTTATATAACTACTATTTATTAGTATTGATAAATTTCTTATATTAAAAAAGAGAAATTACAATGTTAAAATTTACATTAACATTATATCAAAATTTAACTCCATAAAAATAAATGAAAGATAAAGTTAATTATATATAATATTACATTTTAAATTCTAAAAAGTGTGTTCTTTCCTTGGCTTACGAAAATTCATTTATTTTAATTTATTTATTTTATAAAAAACATTAAAAAAAACTTTCTCTTGTCTTATTTATAAAAAAATAGATAACTAATTTATGAAGAGCAATAAAAAGTAGTTTTAATCATAAATTTATATTATATTTCAAAAACTTCATAACATTAAATAATCAAATTATAACTTTATATATATATATATATATATATACATATATATATATATATATATATATATATATATATTAAACAAGATAAATGTTAATAGTACACTAATTAATACACTTTTAGTTATTAGTAAAATTTTATCAAAGACTACAAAAATCATATAGGTCCTACTTTTTTCAGTCATAATTTAATGTTCCTCTTTTATACTTTTAAAAATTTTAATATATTTTGACTAATAATTAAAAGTATATTAAAAATAATATATTAAAATCTATATTTCTAATATTTTTTATTAAATCAATAAGATAATGGGTAAGTGCCTTATCGATCAATACAAATCTCACAATAAATAAAGATATACAAAAAAAATATAATAATTAATACATTTAAAAATAAATTTTTATTTTTTTATAATTTGTATAAGAGATATTTTAGTTAACTTTTTTATAAATAAAATTAAAAAAAATATTATTTTACATAATCATAAACTAAGTATATTTAAAATTTTTAGTGGTAAAATTTGCAATGCGTAGTCTTCATTTGTAAAATTTCTTGGACTGCTCGCATTGAAACGCTCACAAATGAACAACAGTGATGAATTTACGTGTAGGAATTTTCAGTTATTTACTTGCAGTATTAAAGACAAACTGAATTAACTGACGGAGGGACAAAATATTCAACACTCATACCAATTAGCGTGGGATTCTATTGTCATAATATCGCAAGATTAGCGTGTTGCTGCTACATAACACCTTTACGCATAGCTGTCACCGAGTTTCTTACACTAAGCCCTTTTACACTCTTTAAAGCGCCATTACGAGGCACCACTTTTCTAGTGCTTCATCTATTTCCATTTTCATGCCCCCCACTATTTAAGTCACACATTGCTCCTAAAGACAGCTATAGCTGTAGTCAATTGGCGACTGAGTAATCTATTTATCTATCTATCTGCGTTTGTTTGTAGGTGATGGAAAATTTCAGAGTTGTTCAGATGATGGTGGTGGTGACAAGTGTAATGGTGATGGTGTCATTGGTGGCCTCAGGAGATCCAATTCAGCTTCATAGGGTGGGAGGCTCCAAAGGTTGGAGGCAGGATGTGAACTATACTGAATGGTCTGCTCAAGAACATGTCATTGTTTGTGATTGGCTCAGTAAGTATATATACTCTTTCATAACTTTAATTACAATTGGATCTTGTGTGATTAAAATGTAAGATATGTTCTAATAAGTGGTCTTCCAGATGATATTGGATTTTTCAAAAGCAGTTTGATACAAGAGAATATAAAAGAGTAATTTAAAAACCATTGGATAGTTAGCTTATTAAGGATATCAAAACTCCTTTCTTCACCAACTAATGGTTGTATGTTAATGAGTTATAGCTATGAACACATTGTTAGCTCCTTAATTTGCAGGATTTATTTGGTGCAATTTGAGGACAATTTTCGATCTTACATTCATGTATAAACACGGTTAAAGTGAAAGTAAATCTTTGTTTATTTTAATACTATTAGTTGTACACACACACACATATATATATATATATATATATATATATATATATAATTTATTTTTTTTTGACGTTTCATTTTTATTGTTTTCATTCTCATAACAACAAAAAGTATATTCATTCCTTTTATGTACACATGTGACACTATTAACTTTGTTTTACATTCCTGTGTAAAATTCCCATTGATAATGTTGCCAAAGATTTTATTACAATCAGGAACTTTACTTAGTTAGGTTGGAGTGTTGAACAAGGAAGGATGCTACTCATTTATTGAAGGGAGAAGAAAAAGAAAATATAGGGTACCCTTTTCATTTTTTTGTTAAATTCAGAAACATTGTTAATTAATTAAGTGGTTATGTAATTCTTGATCCGGAAACAGAAGATAAGAATCAGATAAGGTTAGCTGGAATTTACTTTTCATTTCAATGAAACAGATTAACCCCTAGCTAACACTGTTGAAAGTATAGTCATATAGTAAAAAGAAAAAGTTAAAGGCACACAGTCAATAGAAGCACAAGATCACAACAGAAAAGAAAAAGATAAAAGAGTGAGAATGAATGCTTTAACTTTTAAAACAAGAGACCTGCACGAATCACACATTGAACAAACACCACCCTCAATTCGGAGATAAAATCCAAAACGCAAATAGAAGCTTCATAGAAGGTATTTTAATTAAATTCATATTTACTCATGAATAAAATAGAATTCTCCTTGATTCCACCTTTTTCACTATTGAAATTTAAACGTACCGTTTTAATCTTATTCTGTTCTATTCTAGCTTAAAAATATATCAAACATTAAATAAAACTTATATGTTATCTTCTTATTTTAACATGTTTATCAAACATTATCTTATTCCATTTTCTTTTTACATGCTGATACTTAATAAACTTTTATTGATTTGATGTAGTGTTCGTGTTTGACAAACGATACTTCAACGTTCTGGAAGTGAACAAGACAAGCTACGAGAATTGCATAGACAGGGACTTCATAAAAAACGTGACACGAGGTGGTCGTGATGTGGTGCAATTGACAGATCCAAAGACATATTACTATATCTCTGGTGGAGGGTACTGTTTTCATGGAATGAAAGTTGCTGTGAACGTTGAAGAATACCAAGAACCTGTGCCAGCAAATGCACCATCACCATCTAAGATTGTGTCTGCTTCTATTTTGCCCTCAGTGTACACTTGCATTTGGATCATTGTTGCTAATGTGCTTTATGTGAATTTGGTTTCAATGGGCATTTTGTAAGAGAAGCATGGTCTAAGGGTGTTAACTATTAATGCCTTGTTTGGGTTTAAAATTAAAGTTAAAATGGTTTATATATTTGTTGGTTACTTTGTTAACATGTTACTTAAGCTAGCCCATAACATGTGGTTGATTGGTTTTAGTGAAGTCTAAGATTTGAGAGAAGATTATGCATGAGCATTGTTTGGTGGTACATAGTGATGAATCAACTTCGGTTGCATGTTATTGTAATCAAATATTAAGTTGTATTATTGCTTAATGGTTTCTTTTACTTTATTATTTTAATCTCTAAAAATTAATATTGCATGCAATCATATATATTTTAGAGAAATGTCTTTTATATCATTTTGAAAACACCTCAAAGCTTCTTCTTTATGTTGGGATAATTTTTGAAATGTAGATTTTAAATAAGATAAAAAATAAGTGAAAAATAAACAAATTATGTATAATATTGCATACCATATTAATTTTTAATAGTTTAAATAAGGGAAAAAACCTCAAAGCTGCTTCTTCATGACCACAAAATTTCTTTTAACGAAAAAAAAAAAATATGTAAGATCCTCCAAGTGATACGCTTATGAATTATTATTGGTAAGCAAATCAATAAAAAATTATTGGTGTCTTATCTTAATACAATAAGAATAACGCTTGTAATAAAGTGGGATGATAATTTTCTCCAGAAGATATTATATTAGGAATAATACAAAAATATGAATGTGTAGATGTATTTTTTGAATGTTTAATTGAAATACAACCTTAAAATTGTCCAAAAGAATCTATATAACAAAATCTTATTTTCTACTCACTCTCTACAATAAATTAGATATCTTTTAGTGATGTTTTTTTTAACAGTTTTACCTGCTACATATTATTTGTGAGTTGAGAAAATTATGAAACTTACTTTAGTTGTTAAAATATGTTAAAGTAGGTTTATTTATTTTTCTTTTTACAATTATAAAGTGACACAACTAAAAAATTTACTTAAAACATGAATATCTGAAAAAATTGGATTTTTGAATTTTTTAGAGGTTTTAAATTAATAAATGCTAAATAGACTTCCTTTCTTAGCAATTTTTTTTATTGAGTTTATGAAATTTTTTGAGTTTTATTTGAGAGTTACTAAACAAAGAGAAAAAAAATGAGAAGACTTGTTTGAAATAATCTTTGTTTAAAATTTTTTAAATGAGTAAAGAAGATTTTATAAAATGACCTAAAACTCTCTTAAAGTTTATATTTTTAATTTTTTATTTAGAGGATTTTTGGTTAATTCTCCTTTTTCTCTCCTCTTTTTTTTTTTTAACCTTTCTTTTTGTCTTTCTTCAAATTTCTAAACAAAAGCTTAGAGGTCTTAATCAAATAAATGCTAAATAAATTCTTTTTTTTATAATTTTATTTATCTTTTTGCTAAGAATTTTTTTTAACCGTTACTTACTTTAATTGTCAAAAAATCTTGTTATTTTTTGAAATGATTACTTTATTTTTAATCTATCTAAATTTCAGATAAATCACTTAATAAATAAGAACTAGAATATAGAATTAGATTATAGTAGTACTTTACAAACAAAATGTAATCAATAAAATAAATATCATTAATAATAATATTACAACAAAATTAAGATAAGAAAATTTTTAAATATATAACATGCTCAATATTTTTTTATCTTATTTAACTGATGTAAAGTGTAACATTGGCCTTTAAAAAAGTGTTATATTACATATTGTAAAATAAAGAACAACTAAAATAATCTAAGGTGAAATTTATGTAAGTTAATAACACATTTTTTAATATATATTTTTAATTATTAATTTAAATTAATTGAAAATTATAAAAAATAAAAAATATTAATTTAAAATTAAAAAATAATTTTTATAATTTTTAATAATTTTTATTAATAATTAAAAAATATTAAAAAGTATATTGCTGGGATTTCTCCAATCTTAAAATAGGAAGAAGTGGAGCCAAAGTAGAAGCCCGACCCGAATTTGGGCCGAGGAGATGATAGTTACAGAGAGAGAGAGAGAGAGAGAGGATAAGATAAATGGGTTGAGGTGGCACTGAGAAACAAACTACAATGGCTTCAATTCAGTGTTCAGTTTCAGTTTCTTCCCTCCCAAACCCCAACCCCAACCCCAAACGCTTCTTTTCAGTTAACCCATTAAACCATAACCCCATTGCTATATTCAGAAGCAGAGCCTCGTCTTCATCAGTGGAAGATGCTGCTATGAGCATTGACAACCTTCACCGTTTCATCCACCTCAACTCCGGAAAGTGGAACGGCTCTTTCTATGTACCCATTCCCACCCTTATGACAATCTTTCCTTTTTTCTTTTTTATTATTTTTTGTTAATTCATTTTCTCTTTGTTTTCTAGCAATTCGATTCGTGTGGAAACATGCTGCAACAACTTAGTACCAAGCTCTCCGCCACCTCTTATGGCGAAGATCAACTCATGAGTCTCATTCAAACGTAATCACACCTTTTCTCATCTAAATGCAACGCAGCTAGGAGAATTTTAAAACAACCAATTTCGTTTATTATTTTTAATTTATTTTTTTAAGAAATTATAAAGAAAAATAGTAAAAAAATAAAGGAATTCTTTAAACAAATGGCATTTTGGTATTTTTCTGGGTATATATATATATATATATAAGGAGAATGGGTTTTGAATTTACTACACTGTAACCCCATTATATTGAATCATTTGAATATGATAAATTTTTGTTCATTATTAACAAATTCAGATTGCTTAATAGGTTAACTGACATGTTAATCTTATCATACTTACTGTGGTTTTCAAATTTTTTTTTTTCAGAATTCTAAATTGTATAGCTGTTGCTTCTTGTAGGCTGTATATTAAACAACCTTCATCAAGTACTACAATTTCTGGTAATGACAATGATGCAGAATGGGCAGAGTACAAAATCAAAGAAACCAATATGTTTACCGTTGACAAATATCAACAAGTGAGAATTTTCTTCTAATGCTGGAACATTTTAGTGTGACTGTGTAAACCATCATTTAAAATAAGCTTGTTTGGTTCTTTCTTTGCGATCCCATTGCTTCTTTACAATATCTGTCACAATTAGTTTGCAGATCGGATTTTTCCCATCTGAGAGAGCATTTGCGCTGAGGTACCAAACAGCCGGCATGTTAGAAACAGTATTGAGGCAAGGGGTTCTTGGAGAAGATGACATTGGTGAAGAGTCACCAAGGTAAATGTTATTTTCCCTAGAAGAGATCAATTGGCACTGTTAGTGTTAGTTTGATTTCTATTAGGTGAAGTGTAACAATTGCTGTCCTATAAATATTTATTATGCATTACTAAATTAAATCAAGAATGCAGTTGATTGAGATAGGAATAGGATTTGCATAGCTGTTCATATTGCCATGGGATAGGGATAACTTGCTAACTACTTTTTATGAGAGCATTTTGGCTACATGCATGACATTAACAACTTCTCATGTAATGAGTTGAATAATACATGATGCAAACTGCAGTGCTTCGGCCTGCCAGTTTAAGTCTTGTTCGGCTGTCATTTTGATTAATCTGGCATGTCCAGTAACACCAATGCCAGCAACAACGGGTTCTTATTTGACTAGGTTGTCCTGCACATTGATTAATCAATGACATCTATTAAAAACCAAAAATTTAGTAAAAGCATTTAGGGGAAGATCTTTTTTATTGGTATCTTTGTCCCAAAGTTTTCTTTAGTTTTCAATTTTCCTCTTGCCCTTTTAACCTGTAACAGACTGAAGGGCAAATATTGCAACCTGTTTGCTACCATAAATTAATTAATAGTGAGAACCTCTTCCTGTTTGAATTAAAGGGTGTATTGTTGAGCGATTTGGCATGTGAGCAATAGCATAATAAAAAGGCATCTCATATATACACATTATATCTTATACCTTGGAATCTTTACACTTCCATATGTGCAGAAATCTTAAGCTTCCCTCTCGTCGACCTTCTGTTGTATGTGAGAATTGCCTGTACTCCTTGCAGAGAGACATGCGAGTAAGAGCCTTTCACATTTTGGAGCCAAAAGGCACGGTAGATATGCTTATCCTCTTTCTAGAGGAAAGAAATGATGGGTCTCCTCCTCTGCTTGACAGTTCTAGGGTGAGCTTAACTGAGATAAGTGCAGCTTTTTTCTTTGTGTGTATATGTACAGCATTGCCTACCCCAAAACACAAACTAGAACAAATTTATTTACAAAGGAGCTTTTGCTTTAAAAGTTCTACCAAATTTTGACAGCAGCATGTTTTTAGTTTCTCATGACCTTTTCCCTTTTGCATTCATTTTGATTTCATGGCAGGACGTAAAGGATAGGATTATACCCTTTCTCGGTAAATGGAAAGGTCATTCCATTACAAAACGAAGTGGTGTATATGGATCTACAATTGCTAAAGCTGATACAGTTGTGTTACATGAGATGGATGACATTGGCCAACTTATTCAGGTATTTTACAACTTAATAACACGTCACATAGGCATAGTGAAATTGTAGCTTAATAGAATTCACAAAGCATTGAATTATGCTTTTAATTTGTGAAAAGAAATCAATATTTTGATGGTATGTTGCTTAGGGATGGATGGGGGTCAGCCCCTCCAATGTTTTCTCTTGTAAATTTTTATATATGGATTATAACTTTTTATAAAAGAATTATAATATTGTCATTTATTAGTATACTTTAGTATTTCAAAGTTTGTGTAAAATATTAATTTGATCCTTCCTTAATTATTTTCTAGATCCAGTCCTAATCACGGATGCTTTATTTGCACCTTGTTTACCTACATTTTCAGTTTGGAGTTCTTTTATTAAGTTTTTATTGCGCTCTCGCCTTGTTAATTGTTCTACTATATCGGACGTTCAGTGTCTTCTGTTTCTCAGCCCACTCTTTTGGGTTCTGTTATTGTATATGTGATTTGAGTAATGTTTGATAAAGGTGCTCTCTTTTATTTGTCTCAACAAAAGTCCTTTCCCCTTACCATCGTATTTTGTTGACAATAAAATGCTTTACAGTTAACACTATTTTCCTAACACTAGCTTTACAGTTAACACCACTTTGTTGACAATAAAATGCTTTTGGGTTCTGTTAGTGTATATTTGATTTGAGTAAAGTTTGATAAAGGTAATCACTTTCCTAACACTAGCAATTTTTGTTGTTGATGGTTCTATTGGATATCAGGATGTTACTTCAACATCTGATGGGGAAAATGTTACCACCAACGTGCATTGGACTGGCACAATATCAGACTATTTGGTTACATTTGATGGAGGTTATCAGATGATACTGTTGCCTGGTGGCATGTACATGGGATGTCCTTGTGATGTAGCAAAAAGTGTAGCAGAATCAAAATCGTTCCATTTAGAATTCTGTTGGTTGGAGACACCTGACAAGAGGCAAAGACTTGTTCGCACATATGATGTGCAAGGCTTGGCTGTCTCATCTACATATTTTTTAGAAACTAAATTGTGAATCCTCTTTTGTCCTTTTCCCCCACCTGAAATCGTTCGAGTTCTTATTGTGAAGATGCCCCATGTAATAAATACCCACTATTTATCTTTACATCCGTTGATTGAACATGATTGGTTAATATATTTATTGAGCCTTTGGTGGGAAATGTAGTTTAGGACTCGGGGAAATGCTTGTACCTGTAGCTTTCCTTGATTGTTATTCTGTAAACGGTCTAGTTGAAGAAAATCCAATCCAATGATAGACATCGTCATTCTCATAAAAAAGATAGAATATCATATATACGGGCGTTACTTAAAAAATACCCCTCCTTTGGAGGTTTTCACGGTGTTGCATGCAGAGGAAGTTCATGTAAAATAAATAAATAATAATGGGAGATTATTTAAGTATTCATCTTTTCATTTGTGGAAGTGTAAATTCAATTACGAATCACTGTAATCATATTAGATAAGGTTTTAGATATTCGTTACAAAGTCAATAATAAGTAACAATTAAACGATTTACTTGGTAGTGTAAATTTTATTTTAGATAATAAGAGGGTTAATAAAAGGTAATTTTTTGGTTTAACGTGATTCAAAAGTAACGATGACAATAGGTAAAGTATTCGATGGGCACCCGCAAAATTTACCCACAATGGGTAGGGTATTTACTTGCTATACGGGTACGGGTATAGGTGTGGGTAAAAATTTGTAAATTTTAATGGGGATGGGTGCGGGTATGGGTATCTAAGTACCCGCCCCCGCCCCATACCTGCATATATATATATATATATATATATATATATATATATATATATATATATATATATGCTTGAACTTTATTCTACAATTATGCATTAAATTTTTGTATTATTATATTACTTATGTGAAGTTATATAAGATTAATATAAAAATATATTTAATAATAAAGTAAACCAAAAAAATTATTTTGGTTTATATTTTTAATAGAAAAATTTATTTACTATTTTATATCATTTAATTAGGCTAACACAATTTAATTATTACATAGTTAATATAAGATTGACTTTTTTAAAAATATTATTTATATATGACACACATAAAATATTTTTTACACAAATATTTTTGTTAATAAAATCATATTGATGTTTAAATCATAAAGTGAATGATAAATAATAAATATATTATAAATATTTTATAAATTTTACAATCACCTATTATTACCGTAAATTTATTATTTATTAATAATATTTAAATTTTATTTTTATATTTTAATTTAAAATAATATTTTCTATGTAACATATGTATTACAAGCACAACTATAATCTATTGAATCTAAATAATATTATTCTTACTATTTATTCATATTCAAAGAAGTTTTTGAAAAGATATAAATATAAAAAATTATTGTTAATTTTTATTTGTTAATTTTTTTAAGATAAAAAAGTATAATTTTTTAATATATACGTATATTTCTTTATTATAAAATTTTATTGTAACTATTTATCTTTTATTCAAATTCTTTTTTTTTAAATTTATATACATTATAAATATTTAATTCACTAAAATAATTTTTCAAAAATTTATATTTTTGATAAAATACTTTCGTATAGTATATGAGTTAAAAAATACTAGTATTAATATATATATATATATTAATTATATTATATTATTTTAATTAAATCTATTATTTTTCGTATAATTTCAAATTTAAAAGTTAAAAAAAATATTTTATGTATCAACTTTCTGTTGTTGTTAGTATTGAACTTCTCTACTCTAACTCTATTCTCATTCTCAATGTCTGTCTCACTAAAATTTAATAATTATGAAATATTATTCATTAGAGTTAGTTGTTAATGCCGTCACAAGAGGTTACTAAGTGATCCCACACGAAGGGACAACCATTGTACAAATCTATTTCGTTGTCGTTCTGATATTACCAACAATCAAATCTCACACAAGATAGGATTATCACTGACAAATAACTTGTGTATTTAATTTTGCTTATTGTTTCTAAGAGTTTTAGTTTAGAAAACTATTATATTAAGATATATTTAACATTTATGATCTTTGAATATTTGTTTTTTATCTATATTTGTACCTTGTTCGGCAACTATATATTAAATTTTTGTATTATTATGCTACTTATGTGAAGTTATATAAACATATTTTTCTTTATAAATATTTTTTTCTCAAACAAGCGCGAGTAATGGGTACAAGACGGGTATGTGGGTACCCAGAGGGTACGGGTACAGGAATTAATGTTCATACCCACGCGGGTATGGGACCAGATACAGATATTTTTTTAAAACGCGGGTATGGGGATGGGTAATGTAGTACCCTACCTATACCCTACCCATTGCCATCCCTATTCAAAAAGAGGTGTGTAGTGTAGATCTTGAACTCAATGGCCATATTAAAAGGCACAATATAAAAATGTTAAGAGAAAATGCTTATTTAACCTTGGATTGTAAGTAAAAGGTAGGGGTGTATTAATTCTTTTAATAAAAAATAGAATCACAATCAGTGTTAGATTATTTAAGGAGAAGTTCAATATCCACGTCCACTTCGAAATCTGATGGAAAATTTTCGACACATTTTGACAACGATTAAGAAAAGAGTGGAAACATAGGCTAAGCAGCAGCATATTCCAATGTTGGAACGGAGATGCCGATGTTAACGTGGCAACAACACTAACATATGATTGTTAACTTAAAATTCAAGTATTTACAGTTACACCGTTATGTTCGCTCTTGTTAATACCAAGTTACCTTTAACAGGACAACATCTTCAAGACATCCTCAGAAACAGAAAACAGTTTATTCATTCACTCAAATTCACTTTATGTCAGAATGAAAATCTGCAACTTCTGCATGTCACTGGCCATCATTTTGGTGATGACGAACATCAACATGGTAACGACTGAGAATCACATCCCCACCACTCTGGATGGCCCATTTGACCCCGTGACTCGCCGGTTCGACCCATCTCTGCGACGAGGCAGTGATGACTTGCCCATGACTCATCCAAGGCTAAGAAAGAATGTCACTTCAAATTTCCCTGAACAGATTGCTATTGCAATTTCCTCACCAACTTCCATGTGGGTTTCTTGGGTTACTGGTAAATTTCCAAAATTTATTGGTTTTGTGTTTGTGTGTGTGTGTTGTTTTTTTCTTGATGTTTATGGTGTTGTATTCTAAAGCATCAAGTTGTTGCCGGGTTGTGTTTTTGGGTTTTGGATAAGGGGATGCACAGATTGGCCTCAATGTGACCCCACTTGATCCTGCATCCGTTGGAAGTGAGGTGTTGTATGGGAAAGAGAGTGGAAAGTACACAAGTGTTGGAAAAGGTGATTCTGTTGTTTACAGTCAATTGTATCCCTTTCAAGACCTCTGGAATTACACTTCTGGTATCATTCACCATGTGAAACTTGAAGGTAGTTTGAGTTACTTGTTGTTTAAACTTTTTTGTTCAAATGGATGATGATAGTGTTTGGTGCTGAGTTTGAAGCAGTGACCACTCACAAACTGTAAGATTTATATGATGATGTGTTGAATGTAAATTCTGATTCACTATCAAAAACAAAAAGAATGGTATCAAGTGAAGAAGTACAATAACTCAAATTTGGAACTCAGTTTGGAGAAAGTTCAGAGATATTTCTTTCTTGTTGTAGGTCTTGAACCAGGAACCAGATATTATTACAAATGTGGGGATAGTTCTATACCATCCATGAGCCAAGAGCTTTCTTTTGAGACTTTTCCAAAACCCAGTCCAAATGATTATCCACATCGAATAGCAATTATTGGAGATTTGGGCCTCACAAGCAATTCTACAACAACTATTGATCATCTAATTCACAATGATCCGTCTTTGATTCTAATGATTGGAGATTTAACATATGCAAATCAGTATCTTACAACTGGTGGAAAGGGAGTTCCGTGTTTTTCATGTGCATTTCCAGATGCTCCTATTAGAGAGACATATCAACCTCGATGGGATGGGTGGGGAAGGTAATGTTCCTGAAGGTTTGAGTTCTATGCCAATTTTTGTTATCAGGTCTTAGCTGAAGTTGCATGTTGATCAAAACAACAACTTAAAAATTCCACTTTACTCTAAATATTTAGACTTGGGGATGGATGGGCATTTATACTTCTCAGTTTCAAAAATGAGAATTGTGTAACCCAATTTATTAAAAATACCGTAACAACCTGAAAATTCTAATGCTTAGTCAGCTAAATTTTTATTCTTCGTTGTGATTATACTGCATTTTCTTTCGTCAGGTGGTATGTTGGACTTGTGCATTGCTGCACTGTTAGTAGTTTGTTTGATTAGTCTATATCTCAATAATGCTATAGTATCTGTCACACCCTTCTTAGACGAACAAGTTTTGGGGGAGGTGGAGGTGAAATATTAGAATCTCTTCTACAAATAGCTGATCCATATGTTAGTTGAGAAATTCTGTTGGTATGATTAGGTCATTAGTTTTTGAAATATCAGGTTTATGGAGCCTTTGACCTCAGAAATTCCTATGATGGTTATTGAGGGGAATCATGAGATTGAACCTCAAGCTGATGGGATCACATTCAAATCATACTTGACACGATTTGCAGTTCCTGCTGAAGAAAGTGGCTCTAAAAGTAAATTCTACTACTCTTTCGATGCTGGTGGCATACACTTTATCATGTTGGGGGCATATGTTGATTACAACAGTACTGGCAAGTGATAGCTGATACAATATATTTGATCTTATGTAAACCATTCATTGCATTAAATTTTAGATGGTCAAACTTGATGTGTTTCACTGGATCTTTAATCCAGGTGCACAGTTTGCTTGGATGAAGCAAGATCTGAAAAGTATTGATCGTAGCGTAACCCCTTGGTTGGTAGCTGCATGGCATCCTCCTTGGTATAATAGCTATGCTTCACACTATCAAGAATTTGAGTGTATGAGATTGGAAATGGAAGAACTTCTCTATCAATACAGAGTTGATATAGTTTTTAATGGTCATGTAAGTTAAATTTATTTTATTTGGTTATCAGTTTTAAAACATTAGTTTGTAAATATCATGGTCAAAATATTTAATTTGTGTCCCCAAAATCTAAAACGAGCATTTATGGAGATGAAAATGAATCACTAGATACTGTTCTATTCCCTTGTTAATTTAATTTGGAAGTTATTGTCAAAATATATAATGTTACAAGTCATCTTTCCAGTATTCTCGGGGATATCTATTTTTAAATTTAGATGTTTTATTTATTTTTCAGTTCATGTACAATAGTGATCACAGCACTTGATGCAACTGAATTTTCCTAGAGTGATGTATATTTAGTCTGTTATGAGAGAATAAGGTGGGTGGAGCTTGTATTATGAAGTGGCAATATGTGGTAATTCCTGCTTTAGGGTGTTGAATCTTTCAAATAATCATATCATAACCATAATCATCTGAATGCAATGCTTTTGCCTCAAAACTGTCCTGTTAGTCTTGGTTCCCATTTGGGAATAGCTTACAACACAGTAAGAGGATTGTCAATGTGTGGGATTCTGAATGAATTCAGAATCTGAGTTATACGCTACTATTTTAACTTTTAAGTGAATAATTTTGAAAATTTTGATTGTTGATGTATGTAACAATTCACAATTGAATCCTGTCCATGCACATTTAGTTCCAACTGCATAGGATTTTCTAGCATAACTTTATTCCTCTTGCTAAGAATATTAAGATCTGTATTATTTGTTTTAAGATCTCTATTAGTTTGTAGTGAAAGCTATTTCTAATTGAATTTATTCTTTTGGATAGAATTATCTGCAATGACATTTCAGAAATAAAGCTTATTTTAGATTTAGTTTTTTTTCTTATGGTTTACATAAACATTGTCGAGTGTTGTCCATCTTGCAGGTTCATGCTTATGAGCGGATGAATAGAGTTTATAATTACACGTTGGATCCTTGTGGACCTATTTACATAACTGTTGGAGATGGTGGAAATATTGAAAAAGTAGATGTTGATCACGCAGATGACACTGGAAAGTGTCCTTCCCCTGGAGATAACATACCAGAATTTGGAGGAGTTTGCCATTTAAATTTTCCCTTTGGTCCTGCTAAAGGCAACTTTTGTTGGAACAAACAACCTGAGTGGAGTGCATTTAGAGAAAGCAGTTTTGGACATGGGATACTTGAGGTATAATCTTCAGATTGTGAACATTTTTATTTTGATTTGTATTGCTGTTGTAACTAGCCTGCAGGTTCAGTTAGCTCAATCACTCGGTGATTTATTCCAGCTAGCCTAACCTCTCAATTGGAATGCCAATACTGATATGTTACTCTTGTACTTTGTCAATGTATTTCGCTATGAATGGGCATCCTCCTCATAGGCCTTTGAGTGTGATGTTTGTCTTGGCAGCTTCATTGGTTTGTTTATTGACCTAATGTTAGTTTTTAGTGATGCTTGTTTTGATAATGCATGGATGTTTACCCACAGGTGATATGCAACTTGACCAGGAAATCATTTGCATGCTGAATTCCTTGGTACATGACATCAATAAGAAGCATTAAAACAGTTGGATGTAAATGAATTATCCAAGCTGAGTATTTGAAGCTCATTTTTGGCTTGTGAAAAAAGATACTGCTTAAGCTTAACTCATTTATTCAAACAAGTTAAATTCAAAATTTGAATTTGACTTGCCTAAAATTATGAAGCTTTAGTTTAGCTTATTTAGCTTGTTATAATTTGTTTATTTTCTTTTCCTTTATCAAATCTCTTCTTGAAGTATTTTAAGTTTATTTAGTCATAAATAGACATTTTTATGCTGAAAGATGGATTATCTATTAATATATTATTATTATTATCTGTACTCCATTTCTTAAGCAAAATTATCAATTTTTTTTCCATTATACAAAATTAAATTTGTTTCTCCAGGATAACAAATGAATCTAATAAAGCATTTAATGAGATGAGCTCTAATAATTCTCAAATATCTTAATTCTTTTACAATGCTAGTTCAGCTGTACCATTACTTTTTATGCATACTTATATTATTGCTTTACGTACGATATAAGCCTTTAAATGTACGGAGATATAGGGTGTGTTTGGAAATAGTGATTTATTAAGTTCTTTTTATGTCATAAGTTTAATGATGAAACTAATTGAGATTAGCCGAAAACTACTTATGAGGGTCATATTTACAAATTTTAGGATAATATGGCTGAATTTTCTTTGTTTTGGAACATTATATTAATTTTATTAAATGTTAAGAATTATAGGTTTAGGATCAGTGAATGATTGAAAAAAAAAAGGATATATAGACTTTCAATAATAAGATATTAGACTCATGGTGTGAAATAATATGATGAAAGATACTAACACGATGGGTCTATTTGTACTGATAATTAGTTTTAAGTGTTCTTGTATTACCATTGGTACAAGTCCAAACCCTTTCCTTTAAAATTTTTATCTTTCTATTTTATTGCAGGTTGTGAATTCAACATATGCATTATGGACTTGGCACCGAAATCAAGATAATTATAAAGAAAATGCAGTTGGAGATCAAATATACGTTGTGCGGCAGCCTGAATTGTGCATGAAAGATTTAAAAGTATTAGTTCCATACTGAAGCTTTAGTCTTCCAAAGGTTTTTCCTGATTATGAAACTATATGTGAATGTGATGATTTCTTGCTTTTTTTTTTCTTCATAACCCTTTTCTAAAATTTTATTGCATTCAAAGTTTTATAGACATAATTTCATTTTTGATTCCTCAACTCCCATAGATTTTATCCTTCAAGGGAGTGACTATGGCCCAGAAGAGACTTCAGGTGGACCACCTCTGACCCAATGCAGAACCTTTTAATTGACTTAAAATTCCATGATGTTTTGTGATTTTCTATTGATCAAGTGCAAAACTTGCATTGTACATTTCTACACAAGAAATTTTCCCTATTACTTTCCATGATGTAAAAGTTCAACTTGGAAGGCTTTTCTACCCAGGACTCAACCTACTAAAATTTTTACACAGCGCAAAATTTGTTAGGAAAATATGTTCTAGTGCCATTTTGTGACTTGCCAAACCGCCATTAGTTGGATTAGTACTTGTTTGGTTTACAGAGTTGGGTAGAATTAATTTTGAACTGTTGAATATGATTTAGATACGTACATAAATTAATTTGAACCACATATTAGAAAATGTGTTTTTGATTTTATTTGTATAGGCTTTAGAAGATCTGCACTTACAATTTTACTGATTACTGAAAAGCTGCTTGTTTCAATTTCATTTGAACAGCTGATTATCAAATATCAATTTTATTTGCTTTGACTTAACTGTCACACACTTAAAAAGATTTAAATTATTTTTGGTCAAGTGTTGATTTCAATCTTCCTTTGCCTTTGTTGTTATAGTCACAGGACTCACAGCAATCACTTCCAAATAATTCATCCCCTAAATCCTCTACTGCTCCTAGCCACCTCTCTCTGGTAAGCTCTTTTATTTTTGCTTCCTCACTCTAAACCCACATTTTTGTATGATGAGAAAAGAAATGGAATCCAACCTATTGAATTTAATCACTCAGGATGTTTCTATCATCATATCACAATTCCTTGGGGTTCTCTTTATGTATGGTTTATATGCTCAGGTAATTCAAATCTTGTTTCTCTTGTTTGTGTGTGTGTGTGGCCAAGTTTTTCTTATATGTGCACTATTTTCATGTGATAAAATTAAAACATTTGTAAATTTTGTTCTTTTTTTTATAAAAGTTTTGGCAAGGCTTGTTCTATTTTTAATTTATTGAAAATGGATACATCAATCATATTTTTTAATGTTTCATTTTCTTTAAACAGAAAATAGTAAACAAAGTCAACTATATTTTCTAAAATTTGAAAATATAAAGATGAAAAATAGTCTTAGAAAATGATTCTAATTGTTTTCTTTTCTTTCATTTTGAAGGTGGAGTGGAGCTAGGTTTTGGACAATCACTCATCTAAAGCTAGCCAAAGAGTGGTGAGGATAACTTGATTATGATTTATTTATTTTCTATTTTTTCTACCATTGTTACTTTCCCCTCTTCATGTCATATGTATTAGGCCAATTTATGATGGACCTTTTATTTATCTGCCTTTTTTCCTCATAAATGCAGGAGATACGGATTTGTGCATAAAATCAACCAGATTTTTATACTGTTCTAGTTGTGATCCTTTGTTCAGGATTGAAAGTGTGTGCATCTTCAGCAATGATTGGTTAAGCGTTTCCTTCAAGGGGATACTTTGGAATGGAGCATGTTACATGCCTTCGCTTTTTTCAATTTTCATTTCCTGTGGTGTAAGTTTGGATACATCAAAACAAGATCAAAGGGAACTTGAAAAGCCATTTTGTTTTTTAAATTGTCAGCCTAAATATGCATGTGGCAATTTTTACGTAAATGTAACTTCTGGAAGCCTTTGCTATTTTAATTTTTTTGGAGTTTTTCAATGCTAATTTTATGTATTACACTATTAAGTAATTTAACTGAGGGATACACGCAACACTACTGAATTACTACATGGGAATGAAATGTCATTGTCACATTGTTTTTTCAACTTGCTATTATTTGTTAATTAAGGAGTAATATAATAATAACAGTATGAATTTCATGTGTTTTTCATAAAGCCCTGTGACTCATTTTTCAATGGGACTCAAAAATTAAATTCACCTAAAACTAGATATTATTAAAGAAAATTTGCTAGAATTTAGTTTACCATTTGGTTAAACATTACGTGGCCTAATTGATAAAGAGTAAAGCCATGTTATTTGGTTGGGCTCATTTTTGAAACATTTGAAATTTCACTTAAAATAAAAAATATTTAGTAGCAATATACCTCTCAAAGAAATGGTTCAGAAAATGTAACGTGTCAAATGATAGACTCAGTAAGCGCCACGTACTCTGTCGGCTATTTTTCAAATAAAAAGAAAGGATCGTTCCTTTGTTGGTTTCAACTAAGAATCAGACATAAGCAACTTCTTCGTATGTTTTTCAGTAACTCGAGGTATGTTCATGTTCAAAAGGATAACTTTGTGACTCAGAAAAGTTGTTAGTTAATAACTGTTGACTTATGCTCTGTTTTCTCTATGATGCTGTTAATAAAATAAAGTTCTTCTTAGTAATTCTTGCACCTCCTTTTTCTAAGAAACTCTTGATTCTTCTTCTTGTAGGAAATTCTTGGTTCTTAATTCTTGTCTCTCTTGAAAAATGTTTTTTTGTTTGTTTTCTTTTTTTCTCTCTTAGTAATTCTTCTTTTTCTTCGTGGTACTTCTTCTCTGTAATTCTTTTTCTTGATAATTCTTTATACTTCTTTCTTCTTGGTAATTCTTTTTCTTCTCTCTTTTAGTAATTCTTTTTTTTTTATTCTTAGTGATACTTCTTCCTCTTTTTGGTAGTTCTTTTTTTCCTTCTTCTTGAAATAAAATAAACTCCTATTTTCTTGCATTTATTTGACTGATCATGTTATGGAGAAATGAAATAAGCCTATTATTTTCTTGCATTTGTTTGACCAATCACAATGGAACTAACTTTTCTAAATTTAATGTTACATGCAAGCAGATTTGTCAAGGAGTATCTGAAATATTTGCTTAGTCACTTATTTTCATCTTCAATTTATCATGTTTGTTCCACACTAATTCACTTAGCTTTACTATCTTTATGCATATATTTTTTAGTGTTTGATGATGAATAACTCAATTCGTTAGCCCACACGTGCTGCAGAGGTGCCACTGAGTTTTCCATCGTCAAGATAAAAGTGTTATTGAGATTTTTGTCACTTAATTAGAGTTATGATTATGATTAGTTCACAGTTTCTTCAGTTTTGAAATTTCTTCTTATAATATGATTCATCTGTTACTATTACTAACTTCTGCAGAGGTTGATGCATTTGTGAGATGTGCTTTCAATTGGCACTAAGGAGTGTAATGCTGCATGCACAAGTTGAATTGCTGGCCAGCTGATTTTCCAACCAGGTAAGAATTTTTCTCCAACCACTTTTTCCTACTCTTCTTTTTCTTCATCTAATTCTTGCTAGTTCTTCCAATTTGATAATTCTTCCTTTTCTTGGTAGTCTTCTTTTTGGTTATTGTTGTTCTTCTTGATAGTTTTTTATACTTCTTCCTTTTTCAGTAATTCTTTTTCTTTATTTTCTTAATTTTTTATTGTAATTTTTTTCCCTCTATAGTAATTCTTTTTCCTTTTTTTTTTTTGGTAATTCTTCTTATTTTGTATTTTTTCTTACATTCTTTTAAATGGTAATTCGCACTTAGGACTTCTTTCTTCTTGATAATTTGTCTTTTTTTAGTAATTTTTTTCTTCTTGATAATTTAATTCTTCTTACTTCTTCCTTTTTTGATAATTCTTCTTCTTTTGGTTATTATTCTTCTTCTCGATGATAATTCTTGATACTTATTCCTTTGTATTTTGGTAATTCTTATTCTTGATTTTCTTAATTTTTTATATGGTAATTTTCTTCTCTCAGTAATTTTTTATTTTTTCTAGTAAATCTCTTTCTTTCTTTTTTTGTAATTCTTCCTTTTGTTTTCTTTTTCTGGCTGTTCTTATTCTTCTTGGTAATTCTTTATTTTTTCTAGTAATTCTTTTTTTTTTTTTTTAATTCTTCTCATTTTTTCTCTTCTTCTTTTTTGTAATTCTTATTTTTCTTCCTCTTCTTTTTTCTTCTTGGTAATTCTTTTTTCTCTCTGATATTTCTTTTTTTTTAATTCTTTCTTCTTGATAATTCATCTTCTTTTTAGTAATTCTTTTTTTTTCTTGATAATTCTTCTTTTTCTTACTATATTTTCTATATTCTTTTTTTGGTAATACTTTTTTTTTCTCGTGATAATTTCTCTTTTTCTTCTTTTTTTTCTCGGTATTTCTCTTCTTTTTGATAATTCGTTTTTAGTATTTTTTTCTTAATAATAATTCTTTCCTGATTGATATTCTTTTTCTTTTTTAATTCTTTCTACCCGATATTTATTTATTCTTCTGTTAATACTTCTTTTTCCTTTCTCTGATCATTCTTTTTCTTCTCAGTTCTTCTCTTTTTACTCAATAATTCTTGGTTTTTATGATAGTTTTTTTTTCCCTTGGTAACCTATTTTAGAAATTCTTTTTTTTTTCCTTCTTATTCTATGTGGTTATTTTTACTTCTTTTTTTGTAAGTCCTCTTCTTGTTAATTCTTGATTATTCTTTTTCAATTTTTTCTTTTTGGTAAATATTGTTTGATTCTTGAATCTTCTATTTCTCTGTAATTTTTTCTTTCTTAGTTCTTTTTAATTTTTGATAATTTTTCTTCTTTTTCTTGTTGGAAATTCTTTCTACTTTTTCATTCTTCTTCTTGGTGTCCTTTAAACTTTTGGTAAATCTTGTTCTTTTTCTTGGTAATGCTTCTCCCTCTTCTTGGTAATTTTTCTCCTTTTTGGCAACTCTGTCGTAAGAGATTTTTCTTTTCTATCTTTTGTTCAGCTTGGATGTTAGTCAAAGCTTTTTTCCCCGACTCTTCTGATTCTTGCTACTTCTATCATCTTGATAATTCTTCTTCTTCTTGCTATCCTTCTTTCTTTTTGGATTGGTTATTGTTCTTTTTGTTGATAATTTTTTATATTTCTTCCTTTGTTTTGTTAATTCTTGTTCTTGGTTTTCTTAATTTTTTTTAATGGTAATTCCTTCTCTTTAATTTTTTTTAGTGATTCTCTTTAATTCTTGCCTTGTTTCTTTATATTCTTTTTCAATTCTTGTCGCATCTTGTTCTTGATGATTCTTTTTGTTGACATTCTTCTTTTTAGCAATTCTTTTTCTTTCTTGATAATTCTTCTTTTTGGTTACTGTTCTTCTTCAGTACTTGCTTTTTCTCATGTTAATTCTTTTTCTCGATTGTTTTTCTTTTTCTTTTTTTTTTCTTGGTGTTCCATTTCATTTTAATAATTTTTTTCTTCTTGGTTATTTTTCTTTTGGTAATTCTTGATTTTTCTTTTTCTTAATTATTAGTTCTTTATGTTAATTTTTTTCTTTTTTTAATAATTTTTAGTTCGTTATGGTATTTTTCTTTTCTTAGATACTTTTTTCTCTTGGTTATTCTTCTTTTATTTTTTTTCAATAATTCTTGGTTATTCTTCTTCTTCATCTTCTTTTCTATATATATATATATATATATATATATATATATATTCTTTTTCTTGATACTTTTCCTTCTTAGAACTTCTTTCCCCTCCCTTTTCTTTTTAAACTCTCTGTACATCCTTTTTCTATTTATTTTGATTGATTGATCATGGAACAAACTTTTTTTAATTAATACTTTTTCTCTTCTGGTATTCTTGTTCTTTTTCTTTTTCAATTTTTTTATCTTGAAAATTATTTTTACTTCTTTTTACTTTTTTCTGATCATTCTTTTTCTTCTTCTCAGTCCTCCTTTTTCTCAGTAATATAAAAAAAATTAGAATAAAATAGACAAAAAGATAATATGTAATGAATTCATAAAAATTAATAACTAAACATTTAAGTTTTTTAGATGACAAAATAATTGAGTTATTATAATGATGAGAACTTTTTTTCTAATATAAATTTTTGTTTTTATGTTCAACTAGAATTCAATCGAATAATAAACCAATGCAAAATGTTTTTTTTTTTCATTTATTAAACTTTTTTAATAAAAAAACATATTTTAACAAATATATCTCATTTAATAATGTTGGATTTACATTTCCTAAAAATACTTCAATTTTTTTGGTCCATTTTCCATAAACTCATTGTTATTAGCAAACACTTTTTCAAATGTTATGATATTGGTTCTTCTAAAGCTAATTTCCTAAACTCACTTTAACATTTCGATTTTCATTTCTCATCATTGCTCTATTTGGAATAACTTATACATTCTTCTTGAGTATGGCATTGAAACTCGTTCATCGTATATGCAGTAGCGTTCTTCTTCTTGATAACTCTTGATACTTTTATTTGGTAATTACTTTTCTTGTTTTTAGTATTTATTAATTCTTTTTTGTCCTCTAAATCCTTCTTGATAATAGTTCTTCCTCTTTATGGCAATTACACTTTTTGTTGATGATTCTCAAAGTACTTTACGGAATTACTGGCATCAAAGTTAATTTTCTTACTACTCTTTATGGTAATTATTTTCTTCTTCCTGTACTTCTTTTTCTACTCCTCTTATAATTCTTGGGACTTCTTCCTTATCGATAGTTCTTCTTAGTATTCTTCCTTTTAGTAATCTTAATTTCCTTCTTTTTGGTTTATTGCTTCTTCTTCCTTATTTCTTCTTCTTGGTGATTCTTGATAGCTCTTGGTAATTTTTGTTGTTGTTTATTCTTGATTTTTATGGTAATTCTTGGTTCTCCTTTTTCTCAATATATTTGTTTCTTCTTCGGCATAGTGCCTTTTTTTCTTATTGGTAACTCTTGGTTCTTCAATTCTTTTTCTTCTTGTCGGTAATACTTTTTTACTTCTTGAAATTTTTTTTTCTTGGTATTCTTCTTGATAATTCTTCCTTCTTCTTGGTAATATTTCTTGTTCTTTTTTCCTCACGGTA